GAACGGGAGACTATAAACACTTTTAGGTTTTGAGACACTCCTCACTATTTGAAATCTACAGCATAGTTAAATCTGGAAACATGTTGCTGCTAATAGTTATACTGATACGATCTTTACATACTCTACCCGAAAGTGAGTATGTACGCTAGTTGTTTAGTGGGTATTCTTTCCAACGATTTCAGAATATGTTGTGGATTGTTGACAAGATTATTCTTAACTGACACAAAACCGTTGCTTTTAGAGTTTAAAACTCTGTCTTGACAGATTTAATTAGTTACATCAACTTCAAGGCATATCAGATATGAAGGTTTACGTGTCTAAGTGGCTGAAATCTCAACCTAATTTACCAGCAAGCAATTAATTTCTCACAAAATAATTTAAACAGGTAACGCAAAGTTTTACCTGCTCAACGGTGAGGGTGCACAAGCAACGAATGGATTTGGTGTCTTGTTCGTCCAGAAGGGCCAACTCTCGGGCCATGTTTTATTTGAAGGAAACAAAGGATTCGATCAAGAGTGTCTGCCGAACCACATATGCCAAATGATGGGGTACCAGTTTACAATAAGTTGGTTCTTAGATATAAAAACCGTTCTTGACACCAAGCGGAAATCTATGCATGCGTTTACATTCGACGATATTTTCTGTCCAGTGGATAACAACGGCACTGTTAATGCGACGTTTAAAATAAAAAAGATAAAAGAAACAAATGTTTTTTCAACTATACCATATTCAGCTGTAGTCCTCTTCTGCGGTCCTTTTAAAAGCACTTGTCCAATCGTGGAGCGATATAATTTCCTTAAGAGAGTTTGTATTGAGGAATTTGGCAGCTTAGTATTTCAATGTCACTACTCTGACAAGCTTTACATGGCCATACCCGGGTACCACCACTCTATATTTAACACCGTCTGCGACAACGACCCTCATTTCTATCAAAGCTGTGGTATCAGAAATTCACTGACCTCATCAAACTCTGCTGCAATTTGTGACGAGTACGTCTGTGAAGTGAAAAAAAATGACGTCCTCCCGACGATAGGTGTTATGTCTACCGTCACAGTTTCTTCAGCGATGTTGTGCCAATTGCAATTAGCTGACCCAGCATTTGAAAATCTGCCCTATTCACAAAGCTGCTCCAATTTACCAGACAACATTTGTTTAGCAGAAAATGAAGAGGAAGATAAAGTTCATACAACTTTAACTTTAAGAAGCGGACTAACAGCGGGGAAGTCCTCAGTTTGCAATGGACGCTGTGATGGACGTCATTGTGAGGACGAGGCTCTCTGTGGTGGCTATCTGTACGGTTTGTACTGCATTGGCTGGCAACAAAGACTCAATTACATCAAACCAAGTGAAGTGTGCGATGGGTCCTCGACGTACCTGTGTCTAAATGGTGAGGACGAAAGGAACTGTTCTGAACACGACTCCTTACCAAGGCACGAAAAATGTAGAAGGTCCACCCTTAATATATTCACAGGAAGACAAACTTCTTCGGTGATCCCAATTATGAATATTACAAGGTGTGGCGCTCCATTCAGCTCTGCAGTATTAGTTGACCCTGTATCAATCTGTGATAACTTTCTAGATCAAACCAACTGTACAGACCAGAGCCGTTCAACACTAACCTGTTATATCAACGGCTATCTTTCAACCATATCCAAATTTGTTGTGTGTCATGGTCAAGAGGAGATTCCAACATTATGTGACAACGGAATAGACCAGGTCTGTGTCAGGGTATCACTCACCTGTGAGGTACATAAACACCAACTGTGTGACGAAATTGAAGATTGTCTGAGCGGGGCTGATGAAAACATAGCAATCTGTCGCTCCATGACAAAGAGGGTTTGTCACAGAGCTTACAAGCCCGACCAGGCATTACAAATTCCCATTGCATGGCTAAGGGATGGGGTTGAGGACTGTTTAGATGCAATCGACGAGGAGGACGTGTGGCAAACTTGTGGCATTGGTTCAACAAAACGATTCGTAGTGTCAATAGATGAAACGTGCGAGGAGGTGTTTCTTTGTAAACATGATCAAGCAGCCTTCGTAGAATTTAAAAATATATGTGATGGGATTGATACGTCATGTGGTATTGAAACAAATATATGTGCGAAGTCGCATAAGACCAATCCTACGTTTGACATTGTACTGACTGTGCAGAAATCAGGTGGAGAATTGAAAACTTTGATGTATTGCTTGCCTGGTCTCGAGAGTCTGCAGCAAATAGCAAATCGTTGCGTTATCAATGAAGTCAATCTTTCGGGACTTGATGTCTTTGGAGTTCAATCCATTTTGACAATTATCCGCCCTAACACAATAATTAACTGCGATCATACCTTTGGAGAAATTTACGTGACACTGAGTTGTGCAGGGTATTGTGAAGACTCGATCTGCCCTTTGCAAAAAAGGGTCCAATACAATTCTTGTCCTCAGCAACACCCAAAAAGGATATACACAGTTGCTGATAATAGATTCCTTTCGTTCGTGACAAAAATAGGTAATAAGTCGTACAGAAATGACTATTTTCGATGCGACAACGGTGTTTGCTTAAACTATGAACAAGTTTGCAACGTGGTCGATGACTGTGGGGATGGTTCTGACGAAATACTCTGTACTAATGTGTTTTTGTGTGATTCCAAAGACCAACTGGTCCCGATCACTGAAAAGTGTAATGGAAATATTGACTGCATGGATTTCTCAGACGAGTGTAACTTACACTGTGGCAAACAGATATTACAAAGCATTTTTCTAAAGATTTTGAGCTGGAATCTAGCTGTGCTAGCCATATTCCTTAACTTGATTTCACTCTATCGAACTCTAACCGATTTCAACAAAGAAATGTCAAAAGTGGCTATGAACAATAAGATGCTGATACTTCTCATAAATCTCGGTGATCTGCTGATCGGAGTGTATTTGATCTATATAGCAATAATGGACACGGTAGTTTATAAGAGTGGATACTGCTCCGAGCATATAAATTGGCTGTCTAGCGCTCATTGTAACATAATAGGCGTCATCAGTACGATTGGTTATGAAATGTCTCTTGTTTCCATGACAATTCTTGCCGTAACTAGGTTGGGGGTGATAAAAGATAAGACTCGGATCAGCGAACGATTTACAAGAAGAGTCCTTTTCAAAATTAGTCTAGGTGCACTAATTATCGTCATGATGTGTATTACTATTGCAGTAATTCCTCTGGTGCCTCAATTTGAAGACTTCTTTGTCAATGGCATGACATACAGACCCTCAGTAAGACTCTTTATCGGAGCTCCCGATAAACAAATCCACCTCAGCATCCTACAGGAGTACTATGGCAAAATTAAGGGCAAAAATCTTAAATGGAGAGTGATAAATGATCTTGTTGATGGTATGTTTTCTAATGATTATGGAGGTGATGTACTTGGTCGAAAGAAGATTGACTTTTACGGGAATGAAGGAGTTTGTCTATTCAAGTTTTTTGTTAAAGCAGACGATCCTCAACGAATTTATGCTTGGGGCATCCTATCATTAAACATGGTTTGCTTTTTAGTAATTTCAGTCTGCTACATTTTCATCAATAATAGAACCAGAACCACGTCAAAAGTGCTTACCAAGGGTAAAACACATACAGGTCATGAAGTAAGGAAAAGGAACAGAAGATTGCAGCGAAAAATATCGCTGATCATAGCAACGGATTTTCTTTGTTGGTTACCAGTTACCATAGCTTCCTGTCTCCACTCGGGAGCAGTCATCGACGCTACACCATACTACTCTCTTATATCCATAGTATTTTTACCTATCAACTCTGTAATCAACCCTATCTTGTACAACGATTTCGTTACAACCTTATTAGAAAAAGTCAAAGAAAAATCGAAACCAGTTTTTGCTAAGAAGTGGAGAAATAAAAAAGTTTCTCCTGAACAATTTAACACTACCTGTATCAATAAAAATGATTGTTGCCATGATCAAGTTCAAATGACTGTGATGAAAGTTTTAAAAGCAAAGGATCGAAAATGATTTAACGAAGATCAGTATCGCGAAGTGAAACAAAACGTTCTATTATATTATTTCTCATTTGGGAAACTGGTACATACATTTTTAAATATTTTACGTTTACACAGTACAAACTATGAACTAATATAATTTAATTTCAACTCAATTGTACAAAGATGATTTAATTAAAATCCTATAATTATATATAAATACCACCAATTAAAATTTAAGAAACACTTGTAATTGTTGTAGGCATAGTTCAACATTCAATGATAAATTTATTTTTATCGAAAATCTTTTCATTGAAATCTAGTTAATGGAATCAGTGTTAATATTATAATGCCATAAGTTGGCACATAATCTTTTGTCTCCAATTTGGGTACATTTAGTTAAAGTTAAGTTGCTTTAAAATGTGATCAATGAACCGTAATTGTAATCAACTTTTTTTTGGTTTTGCAGCCGTACAAAACGGTTTTACATAAACCCTAATCCCAACCCTAACCCTAACTATAACCCCGAAGCTAACCATAACCCTTTCCACAACTATAACCCTAACCCGAGCCCTAAACAATCGAATTCATGTTTTACTAGCCTGTCACGTGACCAAAACGGTTTTTTCCCATAACTCTCCGTGGAAGCATTTTTACCCTACGTCATGTGGGGTGATTCGGAATCAGCGTCTAAAAATACACCGATACAGATCAAAATACACCGATACAGGGCCTTTTCACAAGAATTTTCTTAAAATTTGGGCGAGTGATTTAGTAGGAGCGAGACTGCTAAGTGCTAACGTAACTGCTGCTAGCTGCTGCTAGAACTACTGCTAACTATAGTGTAAAGAAACTGCTGCTAATGGTTTTTTAGCGCTAATTTCGGCCAGCACAAAATTCTTGAAACAAATGCGTATTGAGTAACCTTCTCTTGATCCAATTTTAACAAAAATTGGTTAGCGTTAGCTTACTTGTAGACTTACATTACTAGGAGACTTTTTCGGACAGTTGTGAAAGCCCTATTGAAAGGTCGTCACAAATTTTCAGAATGATCTCATTCAACTTTCAAGGAACCGAAGATATGACAGAATAGTACGACAAAAATCAACGAATTCGTCATATTACGCCAAATTACGCACCATTTACACCTACTTTTGCTCCAAAAGCCTAGCCGCGCACCATTAAATATGGCACCTATGCGAAACTTATTGATCAAATTTGGTACTGTAAAAAAGGTACTGTGAAAATTCTGATCTCACAGTCTCTAGAAAACAATGGTACAAAAATTTTGAAAATCCGAGCAAGTTTATTTTCATCGTGCACCCCCTACTAATAGTAATAAAGTCCCATTTATATTTCTAAACATATTCTTGATCCTTACACATCATACTATTGTGTGTTGTATCAAATTAATGGTTAAGTCTCCAAACTCATACATCATAGCAGAAAACACGTATTTTTGCTCGTAAGGCCTTAAGGCATTCTACTAATAGTAGTAGTACTATACTTATAGTACTAGTAGTACATACTACATTATTATTATGGTGTGATAATGATATGAATACTCCAATTTGGATTTGACGATAAAAAGCGTTTAAAACAAGACAATAAAATCGGAAAATTTCACTATTAAAATGGTGTCCCTTATAAATCACTCATCAAATTGCAAGTCCTTAAAAACGATTTTGGTTGCTTCGGGTCGGTGACAGACCCTGCATCGGGACACGTAACTTCTTGCTTCTGTGAACGGTACCCTGGTTTCCTCCTCCGTGTATGGATCCTGAAGAGAGCAGGGTCAAAATAAAAGAAAAATTGAATCAACTTAACTTTAACGAAATGTGACCATTTTGATTTCATAAATGGGCTTGCAGATTAAACGTTTGAAAAGCTAACACTCGGCTCAAAACATATAAATATGTTATAGTCCATCTATACATCTTATATCTACCTTTTTCGAATCCATCTGCCATGACGTTTTCTGGTCGGAAGATTTAAACTTGCAGCCCTCGACATCACACTCGGCTACAGCAGTGGGACTGTAGTACAATAGACACGAGGCTGGTTCGTCTGAAGTTGTTCAATAGTTACTTACGTATTGTATATATTATATGTAGTGGCCTTTTAATTTCATAGATTTTAAAATCATTTTGGACCAGAAAATATTTATTTTTAACAGCAGCACGTTAAAAGCTTTTCCTAAATAAAACAGCACAGATTTGATTAAAAGACTGAAAATCGGAGAAACGACAATCTGCACAATGTCATATTATAACTATATTATATTATAGACTGTTGTTACTTTAAACTTTTTAAAAACTATTATCCTGAAAATGAGTCATATAATGTATAATAGCACAGCTCTCGGCAAGCTATAAACCCTCTCGGCTCTCATTGGCTGAATAATCATCCAATAAAGCGATAAGAAGGCGGCATGTTATAATCACTGACCTGTTAGCACTCCTATTGCATAGTTATCCAAGGACACTTCCCAGAAGCTGTAACCGATCCAGTCCTGTGATTGTGTTGCGGAGGGGATGAATCTGTTAGGAGAGGCTGCGGACACGTAGCTGAGAGAATATTTATCTTTAGAGAGAGATTTATTTACCATTGATATTGCTAGATTGTGCCGTAACACAAAACACAATTGTTTTGTTAAATAATTGTTTTATTAATAAACAATAAAGAAAATCCGGATAATATCACAGTGTCATCGCAAGGAGCTTAGGATTTCAAAACTTTAAGTTAACGTGCGTGCATACAGTTTTTTAAAGTAATTCTGTGGTACACTGTAAATGGTTATGAGCCGTTCGGCGGGCACGCGCTACTGCAAGCACGAGGGCTCTGGTTAGAGCAAGGTTATGAGCTTTCTCTCTTACCCATCAGGACAGTCAGGTACCGTGTTGGTCATACTGTGCACCACCACCATCTTAAAAATAGTGTCACACACCACACATCTAGATATCAGATTCAGCAGTTCTTCTCGTCTCGATCCCATCTTCAGCTTACCTGGCAAACAATAATGTTAAGTTGTTGAATCATGGTTATTAAAAAGGTTGTGTGTCTGTCATTCATGATACCAATTTACTCCCCATCTACAAACCAGAATTCAACCTCAACTTTGTACGGAAATAAGCAATTACATAATACAATATTATAGTTAATGTTATGATATTAATATTATAATATTAATATTACAATATTAATATTACAATAAATAGTTAATATTATAATTATCTGTATATTTTGAATGAACCTCTGGGTAGTCGGCTGGAGCTGTCATCAGTTAGGAACTCCGGAGCAGTGGCCAGCCAGCTGAAATAAATTGTAAAATTAAGTTTTCAAAATAAAATAAAAACGTGTTTAAGGTTCAACAACATAACAATCTTAATTTCATTTATTTATACGAATTTATTTAGCACTAGTTTGATGAATTTTTATTAGTTGTAGTTGTGGTACGATGGTGATCAGATATGACTTATCTTGTATACCTTTATAACAGTAGCCAGTCAAAAGAAACAACAGTTACAAGGGCCGAGGCATTTGTAAATTTTTAATAATTTATTCTTTTAAAAAAAATTAATAAACGTTTAAAAAAAAGATGCTTACGTAGTCTTGTGACCCTCGTTGGCGGAAGAACAGCTGTCAATGGTGCACTGAGTATAAAAGCCAGGGTAAAACTCAGGTAGGCATGACCCAGGCTTTCCCAAGTCCTGACTCCATTTCGACTTTGAATCAGCTGAATTTCATTTAGAGTCAGTGATATATAATGAATTTTAACAAACAATAATAAATCGTTAGAGAAAATCGAAAACGTTACCAGATCGATAATTTAAGAAAACTTACATTGCGAACCAGGCATACCCCTTTCAGACAGTCCATTGTATTAGAAGCTTGTGGAATGTGAACTGTTTCTTTTAGAAGTAGATATTTCACAATTTACCCTACGTGACCGTGTTTATTTGTAAATTAAAGCAAAGATCCATTATTTGAAGAAATTGTTGCGCGATTAACATACTGAATTGACCCAGTATGCTATTTTAAGGTACACTGTATGTTACCTTTTTCCTAATGCAAAAGATGGAGACAAAACAGAGACAAATGTGCCAGTAAAAGCGGCAGCGTGGTTCGCTTGAAGCCCAGCCATCCGACCAGTAAGCGGCAACGTGTTGTCATGGAAACACGCGGGGTTGTCGTCATGGAAACCCGCGGTAAAAGAATGAGGCCAACTTTCGGAAAAATATCAATCGATCAGCGAGTTTTGTTTCCCCTTCATACACCTCTTAATTCTCTGACGAATCCAAGTTTGTAAACAAAATAGTCAAACAGTTGGCAATAAAATAAATCGGTTTGCAAAATATAAAAATGTTAGAATCTCGGTTAAAAGCCATAAAAAGTGTTCGTCAATCTTTATACGCGGTCGTTAGGAGAGAAGTAAACAATTTCTCGTTTTGTAGAGGTTCTCCTCATTACCACACATCTTCCCAGTTCGTTATCTCTGAATCTAGATCGAGCTACTCCGGACATCACGTCATTTATAATTTCACCATCGTCTAGGTCGTAGTTCCTCAGCTTTTCATAGTCGACGATCCAAAGTGAGGTTGGAGAGTTGGAAATCCATCTCACTTCTCGGCCATTTGTTTGCACAATAGAAACAGGCGAGAAGTATTCCAAACAGGAGCCGTGAGCCCCGAGTTCAGTTCCTGACCCTTCTCTCGCTCCACTTTGGTAAATGTAGCTGTATCCGGAGTATAATTCCGACCATCCGGCTGACACAAGTTTGTTCAGATTAGGCTTCTTGTTTCGGAAGCTGTGCACTGCCATGAGCTTGTAGTCACTTACACAAACAACACATCGGCTGAAAGAAAGTACAGTTCGTTACTAAGCGCTTACAAATCATGGAGATCCAAGAAACTATCGTATTTATTTCTAATTCTCAAATAGATGATGGTTATCATGGAGGTCGGACGGGTGACAGTTTTCATCAAGTATCACTATCAGTTTAGTTGATTGGCTTCTATTATGAAACTACTGTCACCGCATCTTGTCCATCTCGTGTAAAATAACCACACTTTCAGAAAAGAACGCAATGAAAAATCAGTAAAATATTACTACAAATAAATAATCGCACTATATGATACCTGATATATTTCTTGATTTTTTCCGCATTATCCGCATTATAAGTCATGGAATCAGGATACCAATCATCAACGGTCGCATCGTCAGGTATATCTGCAGTGGCCATCCAGAAGATATACTCGTTCTTAGACTCAATACAGGCAGCACTGTCACACAACTGTAGAGGGTTCATGTAGAACTCCCTCCAGCAAGACCCCGGCCGGGACAGACTTTGGGCTGACACTGATTTTGTAACTGGGAGAGGGTGGTGAGTTAGATCGTGGTGTGTATGGGGATAAGTTGACATGTTGGGACATAGCTTTAGTTGGAACGGGGAATCGTCAGATCATTGTCAGAATGGTGTGGGGCATCAACTCCAGGTGTTGTTGATAAAGGAGTAACTTGGTGTTTGAGCTTAGCAGGAAACGCTAACAAAACAATCGAGTAAACAAGCAAAGAAAGAATCAAAACTGCTGATCAATCGAGAGGCAATCAAAATTTGATGGTCTCGCGCACAGAGGACTGTCTCCTTAAAAACACGCTGCCGCTTTTGGACGAACTTTTGGAATCGGAAAATGAGAACGTTTCCTCTTATCAAGTTATCTAATTGATTAAATTAATACATTTTAATAGTATCATCATCAGGATTGGTTGGTTTTATACTTACCATCGACAAACATGAACGAGTACCCCGTCCAAAGCTCAGTCATTCCATCGAAGCACTTTGGAGCGACGTTCTTTTGAGAGTGGAACGCCACGATGTAAGGATTCAGCTGGATGCTCTGGGCTGCTTCACCAGGTGCACCTTAGTTATAAAAGATATTGGATTAAGTTCTAAGTAGATATGCTCCCTTGAACACAAATTCGTCATCCATTTTATTCCAGTTATATAACTTAACTATGACAACGATAGAAACATTCATCAATATCTTAACCCTCAAAAATGCAAACCAGGATTCACGATTATCGGTTATTTCAATTTGAACGTCATTTTTACATACCAGCTCTGCCAGGTGCCCCCTTTTGTCCCCTTGCTCCTTTGACTCCAGCACCAGCGATACCCTTGGGCCCTGCGATACCTTTGATTCCAGGGATACCTTTGCCTCCTGTATCTCCTCTTTGCCCCATGACACCCTTTTCTCCTGTGGTTCCCTTGAACAAAATATATTGATTATTTTCTAGCAGTTACTTTTTTTGTGGTTTAAACGTTTTAAAACAATAAAATCTTAAATTTTAATAGAGAAAGACGTTTAAATACTTTAATAGAACTAAACTAACCTTTGTTCCAGGTGGTCCTGTGATTGTTTGACCATCACTGCCTCTGTCTCCTTGTCTACCTGGCATGCCTGAACTACCGGGATTACCATCCCTCCCTGGAGTTCCTGCTCTTCCTAAATCTCCCTTAGCTCCAGGTAAACCGTTTGTTCCTGGATTACCATTTGTTCCTGGAGGTCCAGGGTTTCCTCTTTGTCCAGTTGGTCCTGGTGGTCCAGCTGCACCGTTTGGACCAGCGGGACCTAAATCTCCAGGGGAACCAGGAGCTCCACTGAGACCCCTGTCTCCCTTCATTCCTTGCTGTCCAGCCCTGCCAGCCATTCCCTGAAGACCATTTTCCCCGGGTGGTCCAGCTATTCCTGGGTTACCGGATCTACCAGGGTCACCTTTTTGTCCTGCTGCTCCGGGCATACCAGGTCTGCCTAGTTCCCCGGGAGTTCCAACACCCGGTGTTCCAGGGACTCCAGAATCACCCTTAACTCCGAGAGCTCCAGCATTTCCGGGATTTCCTGGGTTTCCCTGCAAAACATTTAATTGGAATTGGCTAGTGGACTGAAATAAATATCCTGCGCCATACATAGAATGAGTTAAAACGTAGCAATTAAGTCTTGCACTGATACAGTGTCCTAGAACAGGTGTTAATGTGAAATATAGCTTACGTTTCTTCCAGGAGTTGCGTCTCGTCCCCTATCTCCCTTAGCTCCAGGTAGCCCGTCTCTTCCAGGAGTAGCTCTTCCAGGTGTACCCTTTCCTCCAGCCTTGCCAGGCGTTCCCCCATTTCCGGGTGACCCAGGAGGTCCTCGTGCTCCTGGGGAGCCCATCCTTCCTGCAGTTCCGGGATCACCGTTCTGTCCATTTAGTCCTGACTCACCTTTAGATCCTGGAGTTCCGGAGGTTCCAGGATTTCCTGGAATGCCTGCTTCTCCTTTTATACCAGCGGTTGAACCTCCCTAGAATAGAAAGAGAGTTGTGACAATGATTTTCAGAAATGATTTTGGAATGTGATACAAGCATAGTTAATTTTACAACTCGAAGAAACAATATCATGACCAACTTACCGGTCGTCCGGGTAGACCAGATTCACCCTTGAGTCCGTTATTTCCAGGTGTTCCCGAGAAACCAGTCTCTCCTTTTGCACCGGGCAGTCCGTTAACACCATTGTTACCGATCCCTGCATCTCCCTTTTGTCCTGGGGAACCAGGCATTCCATTAGCTCCACGATCTCCCTTCCCTCCGAGAATACCATCATTTCCTGGTCGTCCTGGCTCTCCTCTTTGACCATAGTTGTTGATTGTCTCTCCCTTGTCTCCCTTCATTCCATTCATACCAGGATTTCCAGCTTCTCCCTGAAATTTGAAATACCTGTTACCGAAGAAACAAATTAAAAAAATTGTTATTTAAACCGTTTGACTTGAACGGTTAACTTCCCCATCATTATCCAGATCTATAAGCAATCTCTAAATATGACCTCACCTTCTTGCCATTTGTTCCAGTGATACTTTCTCCAGGTTCTCCCCTGGGTCCAACAGGTCCGGTTACAACAGGAGAGTCTCCTTTAGTTCCTGGAAGACCGGACGAACCATCCTTACCAGGTGTGCCAGATAACCCTGCATCTCCCTTCATACCGGGGAGTCCAGGATTTCCAGGATTTCCGTCCTTACCAGAGTTGCCTCTTCCACCGGGCCGTCCAGCGGCTCCGAGCAGACCTTGTAATCCCATGTCTCCTTTCTCTCCTCTTTGGCTCATTCCTGGAGCTCCTGGGTTACCCTTGGCGCCGGGGAGGCCGTTGTTACCAGGACGTCCATCTAAACCGGACAGACCGTTATTTCCTCGATCTCCTTTTTCGCCGGGTCTTCCAGGGATCCCAGCTGCACCAGGAGTTGCAGAAGGTCCTCTGTCTCCTTTAGCTCCTGCCAGTCCATTCCTTCCCTAAGTGTTTATAGAATTACAAGAGTGATAGTTTAATTATGTTTATTTATTGTTTAACTATTTTGTAAATAAATTCGTGTAAGATACTGAAAAACCTTTGATATCGATAAAAATTGTATCATAAACTTACATCATTTCCAGGTCGCCCAGGGAGACCGTCTTTACCAGGGTTACCAGGGTTACCGTTAAGCCCACCATCTCCCTTACTACCTGGCATACCAGGTAGACCGTCCTTACCAGCTAATCCTGGTTCTGCATCCCGTCCTGGTATACTTCTCCCAGCTTCACCTAAAATAAGGGTATACTAAGGTCCTTAAACTGAGAGAGCTGATATTACTTATTGGTGACATCAGACATGTCAGACGTGTAGGTTTGCAAAGTAGTTGGTAGGGTTTATTGTTGGTTTAAATAGTAGATTCTGACTGACCCTTAGCACCAGGGCGTCCATTTGTTCCAGGCAGGCCCCTGGAGCCCTTGTCTCCATTAAGACCGGAGGCTCCATCTGAGCCACGGTCTCCGTTTACTCCTGGTCTTCCAGGTAGCCCTCCATTTCCCTAAAAACAGATTTGATTATCATATGCTGACTTCTGTAATACATTTTATAGATCCGGATTCCGGACTCTGAAGTAAAAACAGTGAAACGCTGATCTAGTGTGTTACAGATTTGTTCAACCCACCTTTCCTCCATTGAGTCCCGGTCTGCCTGCGTCACCCTTTGCTCCAGGGATACTTGTAGCATCTCGCCCGTTAGTACCAGCCTCTCCTTTACCTCCGTTCAAACCAGGGTTACCAGGGCTACCATTATCTCCCCTAGCTCCAGGGTTACCAGGCCGACCTGCCAGGCCACCTGCTCCTTTCATTCCAGGAGCTCCAGACATACCTGGATGTTGTTCAGATTGTCAGATATTTGGCTACTGCAAGTAGCCATGTGACCTCAAACTAGTCAACAGGAATCTCTTACGATGTAATGAAATAGCTAATAATAATAATATCAACTATCAAAACTATGCTCCATCTTAAAAATATCCTGAAGTATACGGAAGTGATTATGATTAATTAATTAACTAATTAACTAACCTCTCTCTCCGGGAGTTCCCATAGCTCCAGATAGACCAGGTTCTCCCTTTCCTCCTCTCAGTCCAGGAGTACCAGGGGTTCCAGCAGTACCTGGCTCTCCTCTGTTTCCTGGTAAACCATCACTTCCAGATCGACCAAAGTTACCCTTCGCACCGGGAAGTCCGGGGGATCCTGAGGTACCGCTGTCTCCTTTCGATCCAGGCAGGCCCTGAAATAACGAATTATCAAGTCGTTATTATGAAAAGTTGGAAAACTTGTATATTTATGGTAAGGATTTATAGTAAGAAGGCGAAATTTTTAATTCAAATGACTTAAGAGTTTGTGCTAAATGACTTACAGCAGAACCAGGCCGTCCGACGAGTCCACTTTCTCCCTTTCTTCCGGGAACACCAGGTCGCCCTGGCTCACCGTTAGCTCCTGGGGTTGCTACTCCAGGACTACCTGCTTTTCCTGAGAAACCACGATCTCCCTTCATCCCCATCAGACCTGAAATGTTACAGAGATAAGTGATACACACTAAATATCTTGAAAGAATTGCAGTATTTGACTCAGAATGAGCCATAACGATTTGAATTTTGAAGTGTTCCAAGTAGATCGACAGTGACTATCATTTTGATCTTTAACAAATCTTCACAATTGTTTTATTCCTCTGAAGTCTCATCTAAAAGTAAAAACGCCCAGACCCACCAGGAGTGCCATCTCTGCCACCAGTCCCCGTATCTCCCTTCTCTCCATCTCTTCCAGGGGTTCCAAGCATTCCCGAGGACCCCTTTACACCAGGAGCTCCTACCACTGTGGCTCCTTTAGCTCCAGGCAGACCAGGACTGCCACGTTCTCCAGGGGATCCACCAAATCCTGGTGTTCCTCTGTCACCTGTGATAATAACGTTAGCACCAAAGCTGCTATAATTAACGATAAATTGTAATACAGTGTTCGGGGTTAGTCAAGTTAAAACTCGCTAAACCAGTATCTACAAATCATAATTCAGGACGTAGACTTAGTTAAGTAAATAAATATAATTGGTACCTTTCGTGCCAGGGAAACCGGGTTCTCCTTTACCTCCATCTCGACCATTTCCTCCTGGTAAACCATCGTTACCATTCCGTCCTAACATACCATCTTTTCCTCTATCTCCCTGGATAAGATATTTCCGATCTTCAAATTAAGAAATATTATTCACAAGTTTTATTTACTACTGCAGTTCTACATCATTGTTTACAATTAAATAACACAGTTAACAATTTAGATTTTTAGTAATGATTAAGAAATAAAATGTAAAAAAATTAAAATCATATCAATGCTTAAAATTAAAAAAAGAAAACACATCGACAAACCTTGAAAAAAGAAATAAAAAATGAAAATAAAACAAACCTTGTCTCCAGGTCTACCATCAGTTCCCCGGCCTCCTTTGTCTCCAGATTGACCAGGCAGTCCATTCCTTCCTGGGGTACCACGAGCTCCCTTGGACCCCGGGAGCCCAGCCAGACTGACTGCAACTCCTGGCTCCCCACGATCACCTAGCGGTTATTAATTAATAATTAAGGGGTGTTGACTGTTGATTCAACTAAAGTGGGACTGTTAAAGGTATGGTACTGATATCTTAACAATCTGTAATCTTATTTATACGTCAACTTATTGGAGCCTCTGAGGAGGGTGAAACGTACCTTTTTCTCCGATTCCAGGTGCTCCAGGTCTTCCTTGGTCTCCTGGTAAACCAGGTGCTCCACTCTCTCCTTTAGATCCTGCGAAGCCTGGAGTTCCCTGAAATTATCGAAATATTATTGGATAACATTGACTGTTCCAGTAGTGCTCAATTAATAATACAGCTAGATCAAACGTTTTTTAATTGAAATGTAATGGGCATAAAGTATTAGCATTCTTTCTGTATGGTCATTAACTTACATCTTTTCCAGGTAAACCATTAGCACCAGCTCTTCCACCATCACCCTTCAACCCATTCAACCCATCCTTACCAGGCATACCAGGCAGCCCCCTAGTTCCAGGGGTACCCCTGTCTCCTTTACCTCCTGGTAGACCTGCAGTTCCGTCATTACCAGAACGACCCGGCTCTCCTTGGTTGCCCTTCATTCCTGGGGCTCCGTTTCGGCCGTTAGTTCCTGGACTACCTTTCCCGCCATTAGATCCGTCCCTGCCAGGTTCCCCACGCTCTCCGCCTAAACCTCTCTCTCCAGGGCGTCCCTGCTCTCCCTTAGCTCCATCTATAGCAGCTCTACCAGGGTTACCATCTCTCCCAGAGGAGCCCTTACCTCCGGAAAGCCCCGGCTCTCCCACACCACCAGGAGTTCCAGGCTCTCCTGTGTCTCCTTTTAGTCCTGGAGCTCCAGCTAGTCCATCGTTACCAGGGTAACCTAGCTCTCCCTTTGTTCCGTTACACCCGTCAACACCAGGAGTACCGGGGATACCGTCAACTCCATCCCGGCCAGGGTAACCACCTTGTCCAGCATCTCCAGATTCTCCAGAGGATCCCTGGGTTGGTTAAAAGGGAGGATTTTAATCAGCGCACTTCAAGTATGTAAGTTATCTAAAGGGAAACTTATTGAAACATTGCATTCACACGTACGAAGCAAGAAAGCAGAAATGTTAGAAAGAAAACAGGAATTATTTTGCACTTACTGCGGGCCCTCTGAGTCCTCTATCTCCAGGCAGACCGATTGGTCCTGGCTGACCTGCTTCACCCTGAATCAGTACTTTTTATCAAGCGGGTAAAAAGATGGGTCTGAGGAGAGTGTTGTTTTTGATAGGACTTTTGTTTGATTTTAGCTTTAATTTAAAAATAAAATTTGTATAATTAGTTTGCATTGTACTTAAAGTTGTGATTTCTGTTTATACAATTTATCATGCTCTTTGTTTATTTATATAAAAGTGAGATTTTCTATAAATAGTGTTAACTTTGCAAGTATTTGTGAGATGTAAATATTTAAAATTAGGTATGTTTTCTTTTAATGAAGATGAGATGTTTGTTTTTAATGAACATGAGATTTGAAACGTTGCCAATACTAACAAATAATAATTGTGACTCCACTATTCTATAGTTTTAGAGAGTAGAAAAATTGCCATCCACGACGCTTGTTCATTCATCATGTCTATCGTACTAACTTACTAAAAAACCTGTCTATGCGTCTCATCAATCTTATTTTCAAGAATACAAAAACTTTTCAAAAATGAAATATCAACTAACCCTGTCTCCCTTGATACCAGGAGAACCAGGAACACCGCGCTGACCGATCGTACCCTCAGAACCTGGGGGTCCGGGACTTCCTGGTCGACCCTGCGGGAGGTATTATTATTAACTATCAAGTTAAGGGATATGAAATATATCGATTTTAAGTTGTAAAGTAATCTGTTTCAAATTCCTAAGTGGTGCCCCATCGTGTAAGCAAATACACGATTTATAAATCAGGTTTTTGGTTGAAATTATAAAATTGCTTAAAAAAGGTACTCCTTCCGTAAAAGAAATAAATTTTCCAACGAATACTTATTATTTATTGAAAACTACTTACTCGTGCACCCTTAATGTAAGGGGGTCTCTGCCCACAGTTATTACAAGCGGGATCAGCCTCTGCCTCAGCTTCAGCGCTGACTAATCCAGCAAAACACACCAACAGTAACAGTGACCTCATTTTAAGTGGTGTGGTACAGCATGTACCTCCTTACTATGCCACAGTGGGGTGTTAATTGGACGGACGTTAATTGTACGACCGTTAATTGTACAAACGTTAATTGGACGGACGTTAATTGTACAGATGCAAAGAAATCTGCTGATTCTCCCTTTCAACAGAGACATTATCATTATCTATACGGTAGAAAGTTGCATATGCCAAAGTCATAGCGGAAACGATGTTGATCGACTGCATTACGATCCTTAATAACAAAGGAGTTAAGTGGCAAGGACGTGATGTGGAATGTTTTTTATTCATGACGGTCATGCTGCGACTGGACTTTGGAAGTCTGACATGTACCAGATACTTTTTATAAAGTTATGAGATCTTTTCTCTAAAAATATTTAAAAAAAGTTGTATAAATCAAAGTATCGTGATTACGAATAGAAGCTAAAACATTCTACTACTAAGACCAAGTTACCTCATTACTAGAAAAGTATTCAAACTTGCCAAACATTAATCACACTCCTGCGGAGTCTGTGAGTTAGGTTTACTAACTTGAGGAGGAAACAGAAGCTGACTCAGGGACCAACTACTGGCCTGCAGTCTTAGTAAAGTATTAAGTAAGTTCACTGAAGCCCTATAACTTGTACCCCAGCGAGTAAAAGCTTGGTTAACATGACTTCTTTCCACGGCTATTAAACTCTGCTGTTACAATTACTTATGTGAATGTTATGTTCTCAATTTCCTTGCTAGAATGAGATTAAAAAATAGGTTCCTCTCATGAAAAGCCACTCCTACGTTATTATTCAGTCAGATAGCAGTAGTGGACGAGGTCGAGAGAGAAAAACAAGAAATACCCAAAGCCTCGACGGTCATAAGATGGTGAATGCGTGATGATAAATAAAGCCTGACGAGTAGAGCCAATCAGCGTCCACCAGTCTGGGTTTTTCAGCCAATCAGCAACCAGTAAACATTGCATGTTTGCTGGCACCCTTTTTCCGGCACGAGTCGTATTGTTATTATTGGCTGGCGAGGTGAGAAAATCACAAAGCGAGAGAGACGCACGTCCCGCCCGGGCATTTTCGTCTTTATTATTTTCAAATTTACCGTTTGTTTTACTTTAAACTAATCGGGTTAGGAATGTGCCCCAGGACCGCTGGTCGGTATCCCTGTCATTAGATTAGCTGTAACCTACCGGCGGCTCCTACTTCCGTTCTGTTAACCTATCTCCTCTGGAGACTGCACTCCGGGGAGAGTGCGGTGTTAAACTAGACTGGAGATTAAGTTCCCAGGTGTTCTCCTATTGCTTGCGGAGGTCTCCCGCTGCTTGCTGTGTTCTTACTGGACAGATGTTTTGTCTCAAGGAAACGTGCCTTTCAGCCAGCATATTTGTCTTTTAATTTGTACTCACAAGTTTACATGCTGCCTCTTCGCCTGGTTGCTTTTCTAAGTTTTTATATCACATGGACGGGTCATTTTAAAAGCTTCCCATCTAGCAACTAGATCAGCAGTCAATGTACAAATAGAGTTACTATTTGGTAAATGACGTCACCATTTATGAACATATACTTTCTGGGCTGTTGCTTCTTGGAACCTCAATATTTTTCTCAGAGTTGCTCAATTATTTTTAAATTGCATTTTTCCAGTCTACTGTTTGTTTAGAAATGAATTTCATATATTTATTATGCAGTGTAGTTTATGTGCATATGGTAAGTTGAACAAAATCATCATTCATAGATTAACTTGAATCAGCATAAAAATAAATGAATTTTTACAAATAATCAATCATTCAACAGATTTTTGATAATCGTTTCCAATATTCCAGTCCCAAAAACAACCATTATAGCCGTTTATATCTTAAACTCTTTTCTTCGATTCAAAAGACCAGCTGCTTCCTTGAAGGACCAATTTCTTAGCTTCAGGTCTTCTGCAGACAGCACATCTCTTGAAGAATCTTTCGGAATCGTAAAATTCTATGTTGTTAATCTCTGATTCCTGAGAGATATTTTAAGTGTTAAAATCTGCACGCGACAATAAAATGTTAACGTTAAATCCAGACACCAATAAAATTGTACACGTGATCACTGTTAAATCTGTTTGCCAACCTCTCATTAATGAATTAAAATATTCAGCTGTTTTGTTACCTTATGACTTTATGAGTAGGCCAACAGTTACCACATAACCATCAGAGGTTCAAAAATTAAGAGGTCCCACATTAAGTTGAAACAGTTTCTCTAATCGTTCGTTCAACACAATTTAAACACTACTTTAAAACCAATATCTCACCTCTCCCTCCTTCATCTGCCAGTAAGACTTAACAGTGCTGTCTTTAGAGATAGTGCACATTTCCCGCCCAGGAGCCATCTCTTTGCACTTAACAATGGGCAACATTGAGAACTTGGTGAGACATGCCGCAGCAGACTCTGCAGGAGAAGGGGTTCATGTTAGGATAAAAATAGCTGCTTACTCAGCTATATGATAATATGTAGCTTAGAAAGTCCTGATAATCTATGGCAGGACCGTCCTGACAGGAAGTCAATCATTGGGTGATAACTGGCACTTGCTATTGAGCAATAAATTTGTCCAGAGGAGCTGCTAGACCAATATTATAATCTTAAAATCATAACAAGATAACACACCTGATGTAACGCCCAAACCGAAGTTTCCGTCAGATATCTGCCAGAAGCTGTACCCATACCAAGGTGTATCTGCATCTTGACAGTCTTGACCGTATGGAGCAGCTTTGCTGGGGACTCGTCTGTTTTCATCACCGGGGTGACAAGCAACCTAAAATAATTGGTGAATTTATTTGATTGAGCAGTATTCAAGCCTGATGGGTGCTATAATCTAAAATACTTTGTCTTAAAGTTCAGTTGTAAAATTGAAATGCCTGTCGGATGCAATTCCAACGTCTCAAATCACGAAAGGCATACAGTCTACAGAAGTTAACAGCGAACATAATGCCAAACAAATTGAACAGGATGATAAGACGCTAGAAACCTCATATTCCAAATACTCCTCTTTCCCCTCGGGAGTTACAACAATCTGATCCTCAGGACAGGAAGGCTGATCATCATCACTGTGAACAATCACCAAACTGTAGATGCTCTCACACACTATACACCTGGAGATGTAGTTGTCTACCTCACTCATTTCCACCCAGGTGGAGAGGTTATCCATGTAGTCCCTGTCTCCTGCCACGGCTAACCAGCTGGGGGTGTGGTTTAGTTTAACATTTCATTGGATTTATCTGGGGTACCGTTAAGATTAACATTTTATTAGGGTCCCTGTTTGAATCACAAGTTTTACTTCAGATCATTGCTATTCAACACTTTTTTGGGAAATATTTCATTCATTTTCATTCAGAAATAGTGAAACAACCAAATGCAGAACTGAATTTATCGGATTAAATCAACATAGCATTACACTCAAAACAACACTTCTTAATTTGTAAAACACTTACGCAGACTGATGTCTCTGAGAGTTCTTGCCGCAAGTAGTGGCGGTACACTCGGAGAAGAACGAGACTTTGAACTCTCTCATGCAACTACCAGGGTCTCCAAGGTTCTGCGCCCATTTTCCTGCTCCACTGCCACCTGATCGGAGAATTAGTTCAGTGAATTAACTTAAAATATTGTTGTCTCAATCAATAACTCGTTATGCAAGTTCGTTTATTTTAAATGGTATTAAAGTATAATAAAGTATAGGGTATAGAACTAACAGTCGACTCCCCGAATAAGCATTAAACCACGTACCTTTTGAAAGTTTGATAAATTTTAAGAAATCAGGTCCCTTATTGAGTTACTAAGGGTCGATTTGTTTTTACTCTTCTGAAATCTTGAGTTAGGACTATCGTATATTCAAATTTCAGAATAAGTATTCAAGTCGACCGAAAAAGCGTATAGGTATGACATAAGCAGTATAAGCACCCAAAGGGCCACGACCAGGAGATCAGCTATAAGCCATCAGCTTCAGATTGAGTCAATTATTGACTAACTAATCCAATTATTGAGTATAAAGGTACGCCACGAGCAGGAAGTTGGTTGGCGGCAGCGTGGTTTGCATGACGGGGGCGACGCGTCCTATAACCTGAAGCGGCAGCGGGAGATTTCCGTGAGGTCGCACCACACTCAGTCACATGATCACTAGTCCAACTTGGTCCCTAGTTTACCTAAACATACTTCTCTACTGAGTTAAATACTTTACTTAGTTAAATACTCCTACTTTACTTAGTAATTAGTTTAAGTTCTTAGTTTATATTCTATTTAGTTATTCTGTCTGTTCAGTTTTTTTGGAAAATACCTCTGTCCTAATGAAGTAATGATGAGCGCTGCCTATCATGCTCATTGTATGCTTAACTATTCAAATGTTTCTTTGTTCACTGTGATACCATTATTGAAAGTTAGATTTAAGAAGGGACCAAGTTAGACTGAGTCATGTGACCTGGTGGTGGAAGGGCAGAGCAAACGTTTTTGAAGAAGAACCGCTGGGTCAGAGATGCAGCTTCCAATAAAGAGAGAGAGGGAGCTTGAGAAAGTCAGACACAACACATTGAGAAAAATTTGCAATTTCAAAGGTACATGTTCACATTATAACAAAATAATAAAAGTCCTTTATTCTTCATCGTAGTTGTCAGGTGTATCACTGTAGTAGTACATCCTCCTCTCTACAGACCTTCTCAGGACAACACACTTGCCCAGGTAGTTCTGGATAAAGTTGGCCCTGTCTGCGGCAGAGTCTACCTTGATGTTCTTATCCACTTGAGCACTGTTGTCAATCAGCCACATGCTCTTAAAGTTAGAGCTAATGAACCTCACGTCTTTCTTGTAAGTTTGAGCAATCATTGTGGGAGTAAACTCTCTTCTGCAAGATTCATGGTCGAAGACAGCGTTTCCGAAGGCTCTTCCAGGGCCAACTTGCATGATGTAGCTGTAACCAGAGTAAACCTCTTCCCAGCCTTTTTGTGCGATTCTTGCCATTTCGGGGGCGGTTGGTGGGCTGGCCGTGAAGGAATGGTATGAGACCAATTTGTAATCACTCACGCACACCACACATCGGCTGAAAACAGCAGTGTAAAGTAATTTGGTTAGTAGCAAGACGTTCTTATTACTAATTTTATTCACCATGATTAATGCTCTGCTTATGGACATAATTAAAGTATCAGTACTGTTACAAATTTTTGTTAAAACCTTATGTATTTATCACGTGCTTCTGCCACTCCAATATCGCCATCAGGGTAGAAAGCACTGCAAGACTGCTGTTTAGGCACACGGGTCGTCATCCAATAGGAATAATCCTGGTCACTGTTCAGACAGTTCTCTCTTTGGCACTTCATCACACTCATGGGGTAGAAATCTCTCCAGCAGGACCCCGGTTTGGAGAGATGCTGGCCAATAACCATCTTGTCAACTGAACAAAGATAAATTAGATGGAGCAGTTACTTTATAAGCGGCACACAGAAGATCAGCAAATGAAACCTTCTCAAGCACCCTCTCTCTCTATCAGATGAAGCGTTCTTTCTCTTGGAGACCTGGTGTCGAGGTTACTGAAGGAGCCCCACCCTCGTGAAACTCACGCTGCCGCTTGAAACAGGTTGAACTTGGCAGACTCAGCAGCCCCACTACCCAAGATCATGCATATCGTGCTGTCAATGACATGTCTCATCTCTCTTAATACGAGAGAGGTCAGATCTCTTGCAGAGGATGAGAAATGTTCAGGAAATATGAAAAGTAGCAGATCATATGAGGGTAACAAGTTGGGTAGCCTTATGCCAAGGACAACGCTGGAAATCAGTAAATTTTACTTACCGTCCATGAACATGAACGAATACCCGGTCCAGAGCTCAGTCATACCGTCCAGACACTTTGGCGGGGTGGTGGTTTGAGAGTGGAATGCCATGATGTAGGGGTTCAGTTGGATGTTGCTTCCAGGGGGTCCAGGAAGACCAGTTTGCCCTCGGGGTCCTGGAATAACACATGATGGTAGGTTAAAACTATCTCATTTTCATCTTTTAGCATGCTTAGGATTGAGGAATCCACTTGAAAAAAGACTTCGACAAAAATTACCTGGTGCACCAGATGGACAGTCAGATGTATCGAAGGATTGTCCAGGAGGTCCCTTTATTCCCTTGATTCCGTCAATACCTGAGGGGCCTGGTGGTCCTCGGGGGCCACCAGATCCATCAGCTCCGTCAAATCCCTGTTGTGTAGCAAAGTTACGGCTGGTATAAAGTTTAAAACATTCCGTGATGATTTGAAAGCAAAAAGATCCATGTCAGAGTAGACTCATCGACAAAATTATCATCAAAGATTACTTACAGGAGGTCCAGGGGGTCCTTGGCCAGAAGCACCATCTTCACCAGCAGCACCAGGGGATCCAGGGTTTCCTCTGGGACCCGAAGTTCCGTCTCTTCCGGCGTTACCATCATATCCACGGTCTCCTTTAACTCCTGGGCCTCCATCTTTACCGGGGCTACCGTTACCTCCAGGTGAGCCATTATTTCCTCGAGCTCCAGGTGATCCTGTAGTGAAACAAATTCAGTGAAGTTTTTGCTATCAAAATTCAAATGCTGAATTTTAAGCGAGTTTAATAAATTTTTATATTTGAAGCTCTGACTAGTTTCACAAAACAACTAAATTACCTGCAGTTCCCATAAGACCATCATTTCCAGGCAGGCCTGAACCTCCAGGGCTACCAGGATTACCAGAGTTACCCCTGTCTCCTTTTTGTCCATTTCTTCCAGGTGTTCCAGCACCTCCTTGTAGGCCAGGAGATCCTGCAGATCCGGGGCTTCCAGGGCTACCAGGTGTACCACTGTCTCCTTTCAGTCCCATGGCACCGGGAGAACCAGGTCGTCCATCATTGCCGTTTCTGCCATTGCCGTCTAAACCAGCTCTACCAGGTTCTCCTTTAGCTCCAGCTCCTCCTGGGGTTCCGGCAGATCCTGGGCTTCCCTGTGAGAAAAATGTTTTAAATTTTAAGTTTCTTTGAGGTTTGCTTTGCCGATAAGTATAAAAAATGTAGCTTAAGGACGACATTTACAATTAAAGATAAAGCAGACTTACAGGGTTTCCTGGATTTCCATTGCGGCCAGCGAGTCCCTTCATTCCAGCAGCTCCATCTCTTCCAGGAATTGATCGCCCAGGGTCTCCCTTAGCTCCAGCCCCTCCAGGAGTCCCGGAAGATCCGGGGTTACCAGGACTTCCGCGAGCTCCTGGGTTGCCGCCCCTTCCGGGGCTTCCTTTGCCTCCGTCTCTGCCGGCGGTTCCAGGGTCGCCCCGTCCTCCAGGTGACCCGTTTAAACCATCTTTACCGTTAAGACCGGGTTCACCTTTAGCTCCACCTTGTGAACTTCCCTGAAAACAGATGTGTTATTTCATATTTAAGGTAATGATTCAATTAGGAAACAATAAAGCTTACAAAACGTTATGAACAGATTAAAATGTATTAGTATTTAGAAAAGTCTTCAACTTACGGGGAGTCCTGCTCGTCCAGCGTCTCCCTTGAGTCCAGCACCACCATCTCTTCCATTCATTCCAGGTTCTCCCTTAGCACCTGAAGCACCAGGGGTACCTGGAGTACCAATTCCATCAGCTCCCTTCATTCCAGGGCCTCCCGGGTTACCAGCTCTACCTTGACTTCCCTTTGCACCAGCTGCTCCCATAGCACCAGGGGTTCCAGGGTTACCTGGAGATCCGAAGTTGCTGACAGTTGCTCCTTTAGCTCCATCACGTCCGGGACGTCCAGCGGTACCAGGCTCACCCTGAATGTTTTATCGTAAACTAATAAATACTTTTGCTTTTGAAAAACCAACCAATATTCCCAGTGCACGGTTTTACGATAAAATTGAAAAAGACTTAAAAAAATATAAAATCTATTTACCTTAGCTCCGGGGGTTCCAGGAACGGAAGGTCCAGGTGACCCAGGGGGTCCAGGAGGAGCATTAATAGTTCCAGAATCTCCTTTTATTCCAGCTCTTCCTGGTGCACCATCTCGACCAGGTGTTCCTGCTAATCCAGCATCACCCTTAGATCCAGGGAGACCATTTGACCCTGGGAGGCCGTCCTTTCCTGGGGAACCAAGTCCTCCAGATCGGCCAGGCATACCAGCATTTCCTGGGGTACCCATATCTCCTTTTGTACCGGGGGTTCCAACTCCAGGGGCTCCAGCGTTACCTTTGGAGCCCAATGCCCCGGGGTTTCCTGGTCGACCATCACTACCAGGAAGTCCTGCAAGTCCAGAATCTCCCTTTGTTCCAGCGGTTCCAGGGGTTCCGGGTGATCCGGGGGTTCCAGGGTTTCCTCTATCTCCTTTAGTCCCTAATCCGCCATTTCGTCCCTAAAGACTTATGTATTAAAATATCAAAATAACTCCTGATGAGAAAAGAGATTTGACCAAATGGCTTTGTGAAAAAATGTTTGTTTGGTGAATTCAAACAGCTATCTGATATCTGACTAAAATCTTTCAAAATGTGCTTACATCATTTCCAGGCCGCCCTGGTAGTCCATCTTTACCAGGATTTCCAGAAGAACCACCCAAACCCATATCTCCCTTCATTCCAGGCTGACCAGGAACGCCGTCTTTGCCAGGAGAACCATCATTACCGGAACGACCAGCAATTGCTCTTCCAGGTTCACCTTTAGCTCCATCTTTAGCAGCTCGACCAGGTAAACCAGCGTCTCCCTTAGATCCACCCATACCAGCAGATCCAGGACTTCCTCTTTCTCCAGGGTTTCCATCTCGGCCAGGCAGACCTGGATTACCCTAAAGAAGTATGATATTTTAGTATATTCATATTTCTGTGGTGCTTTCATCAATAGGGCAAGTTATCTAATTGTGATAAATGATATCAAGAAAAGAATTGATGATAAGTTTAACAAACCTTTCCTCCTTCTCTTCCGGGCATTCCTGGTGTACCTTTAGCTCCTGGTAATCCTACAGCATCTTGACCATCTTTACCTCGGTCTCCCTTAGCACCTCCCATTCCGGGTCGTCCAGGAGAACCTGGTTCAGCCCGAGTTCCTGGCTGACCACCTCGACCAGGTAGTCCATTATTACCTTTCTCTCCGGGAGAACCATCAGTTCCTCTAACTCCTGGGGTTCCAGGGGTACCGTTAATTCCACCGTCTCCCTTGTCTCCTCGCTGTCCTGGTGTTCCAGAACTACCAGGGGTTCCTGGTTCTCCTCTCCTGCCAGGTTCTCCCCTTGCACCGAATCGACCAGCATCTCCTTTACCTCCTGGCAAACCAGGTTGTCCCGATGATCCTCTACCTCCCTTTCCACCGTTAATACCCTGCAATGGAAATTATTGAGTTGACCTAGAAATCACTCGAAGTCGTTAAAACAAATATATTGTGAGCGATGTAAGAATACTTAGAATCTTAAATTAATTCTGCCTTTCCCTAATAAATGACTATATGATATCATGTCTATGTACATACTGGAGTTCCAGGTCTCCCGAGAAGTCCGGCCTCTCCCTTTCTACCGGGTACACCAGGTCGTCCTGAATCTCCCTTGGTACCAGGTGTTCCTGTTCCAGGACGTCCGGAGGATCCAGGAGTACCTCTGTCTCCTTTCATTCCTAGACCTCCTGGTGCACCACCATTTCCGGGTTCTCCTCGTTCTCCCTTCATTCCCGGTAATCCGGAGGATCCGGGCCTTCCTGAGCTTCCTGGTGGATTTAAAGTTTTAGTAGTTACCTCAACACTCATTCGGCTATGTTCGGTATCGACTTATTTTAAATGCCATGGTCGTTACGATGAGAAATTAAATACCTTTATCTCCGTCTTTTCCGTTTACAGTGCGACCTTTTTCTCCAGGAGTACCAGGAGTTCCTCTATCTCCAGGCTGTCCAGGAAGTCCTGGTGTTCCTCGGTCTCCTTTACCTCCATCTCTACCTGGACTCCCCTTACCTCCGTCTCGTCCGTTCGTCCCTGGACTACCATCTAAACCAGGCCTTCCTGGTTCACCATTTCGTCCGCCTTCCCCCTGAAAGTACATTTTATTTAAGTATTTAGTATTCTTCATTTCCCATAAACAAATGAAAATGATAGCACTGTTCATGATTTTTCAAAATTTAAGGCAAGCGTTCGACAAGCTGTTTTACATTTTCATCGTAAACCTACCTTTTGACCGTTTCGTCCAGAAGTACCACGATCTCCTTTGGCACCAGAACTTCCGGGTAGACCATTTCGACCTGACTTCCCTGGCTCTCCTTTGTCTCCAGCGAGTCCGGGTAACCTCTCTAGTACACCTGGTCTGCCAGGTTCTCCTGAAAATTTCATTTAGTTTCACCACTATTTTTTTTGTAAAAGTTCATCTGAATATGGAAATAAAACATTGCTGTTGGAAATTCTCCGTTTTAACAGAATCTTACCCCTTTCTCCTTGTCCTGGAAGACCGGGTCGACCTCGTTCTCCGGGTAGACCTGGAGTACCAGCATCTCCTTTAGATCCACCTTGTCCGTCGGTTCCCTGAGGTTGTAAGATTACATTTACAGATTGAGAACGCGAACGTGTCAGCAAAATATAGAAACGCGATCTAATATTAAACAAACGCATAAAATGCTGTAAAGTAGTTAAAATAAAAAATAAAAACAATAACTTACGTCCCTTCCTGGGTTTCCAGAAGTACCAGGAGATCCTTTTTCTCCAGCTCGGCCAGGCAATCCGTCTTTGCCGGGGGTTCCTCCTAGACCTCTAGTACCGGGGGTACCATCACGACCTTTAGCACCTGATAGTCCAGCAGCTCCGTCATTTCCACTCCTTCCAGGGAGTCCTCTGACCCCCTTTAACCCTGGGGCACCAGGACGACCGTCCATACCACCTCTGCCGGGCTCTCCTTTACCTCCATCACGACCAGGTTCTCCACGACCACCAGACTCTCCAGGACCGCCTGCTCTTCCTGGATTTCCTTTACCACCCGAGATTCCAGGTCGACCAGGTTCTCCATTGCGTCCTCCTTCTCCTTTTCCTCCGTCCATACCGGGTCTTCCAGGCTCTCCTGCAGATCCAGGCAGACCACCAGCTCCCTTCTGACCGGGAGTACCTTGTGATCCGTCCTTACCGGGGTGACCCATGTCTCCCTTTGTTCCATTACACCCGTCAACGCCAGGAGTACCGGGAATACCGTCAACTCCATCACGGCCAGGATATCCGGATTGGCCGGCATCACCAGGTTCTCCAACTGGTCCCTGTGGTAGAAAATAATAAATCATTGTTTTTTTGTTTCGATCCCCAATTTAATCATTATGGTGATACTCGGTCTGGCCGTCTGGGAAGCCCATAGAATTCCAGTTCAGAAACCGAGTAAGGAGGTGCGGCTACTGATGAGAAGCCTCCTTAAAGTTTATTTGGGTTAGAAACGACATCTGGGTCCCTACCCTCGCACAAGATTATTCTCAATTTTCTTGTTGTGTTCCACAATCCACAATTACTAACTGTTTTAATTACTTACACCCAGTCCTTGAAGTCCAGAATCACCAGTAGGTCCAGGGGGACCGGTCTCTCCAGACATACCTCGGTCTCCCTTCACTCCAGGGGAACCGACAGATCCTCTCATACCTGGGCTACCAGGAGAGCCTGGAGGTCCAGACGCGCCGGGTCGACCCTGAGGGGTAGTTGTGATCAGAAAGATCATTATTGAATAGTATCATTCATCATGATAAGACATTGATAAATAAAAAAAGGCACAAAACAGTGTCCCTATCAAAAGCAGCCACAATTAACCAATGTCATAATCTTCATAGTAGTACCCTAACATTTCCAAGTTAGAATATCTGCGGTCGTATAGGGTATAATTCTCACGTTAGAACATCTTAGGTCCTTATAATGTTAAAGATATAATTCTCACCCTAGCACCCTTAATGTAAGGGGGTCGTTGCCCGCAGTTATTACAAGCGGGATCAGCCTCTGCGTCGGGGAGAGCCTCCCCAAACGCACCAGCGACAAGCACAATGCTCAGTATACATCCTATTAGCCGAGACATCTTGAGAACGTTGATGAAGCAACCATCAACTAAGACTGGGAAGATGGGTAAGTAATTAATTGGGACTTGGACAAATTTTAAGTTCTAACTGTCTCAGAACTTCAAAAGAAGAGTCAGCTAGGACATGAAATTTAAAGTGTAATAAATAGTTGAGTATGTAGTTATACTATATAATTATTAATCAAAAGAACTCTAAGCTGGTTGTGATGTGACCCCTTACGGTTTTGACACGTAACAATGATTTTAGGTATTGATTAGTCAGTATGCTAATGAGTTAATCACTGTCAGGTTATTCACCTCATCAACAGTATCTATACCTATAACTTATGTCTTATAAGGTCAAGGTTGCTTGTTAGCATTGAAAAAACGAGGTGTGTGTCTAAAACAGATGAGCCTGATTTCAAAAGTCTTACGCTTGGAATATAACAAATTTATTACATAATATAATAAACTTATTTAGTTTTATACAAATAATTTTGCGTTGGTTCATGTCAAATGAAGAACCAATCGCCAAATTTTTGTTAAGTGCTTGCCTGCACCATGATAGTTACTCTCGTGCCTAAATACTGTACCGAGTAGAGCCTTATCACATAGGTGTAAAAATTGTAGACGCAAATAATCACAACAAAACTTGTAACAGTTAGGTGCAAATGGAGATTGCAGTACATAATCGTACGGTAATTCGCCAAATACAATACTGTTTGTAGCGATCAAAGCATCCTAACAATGTTTATATTGCAATTTTATTTACGGTAAGGCGAGCCACTTGAACGCTCATTGGGCCGGACAAATAAGTCACGTGGGCAGGTACTTCTGCACGTGTGATAAATCAATCACGTGATAAATTACAGTTTGTCACGTGGTAAATAGATTCACGTTTTATACGATAACGGTGCGTAATGTTTGTTTTACTTTGTCAAGGAAATTGAGGGATGGTAATATTACGGTGCGGTTCATATGACGGTTACCTAAAACTAACAATAACAATGAATACTTTTGCCGACAGGATTTTGATTTTGTGCCTATTATTACTGCCATGAGATAAAAATACACTAAATTAGTACATTAGGCGGATTTAAAAAATAAAAAATCGGGAGTTTTAAAAGACACGATCCGCTCACGTAAAAATTGAATTATCAAAGATACCAACAAGAAATAGCATGACATGTTCCACAAAGATATTCGGATAAAAAGGATAAATTGAAAATACTCAAGTCAGACCGGGAACCACTGTCATAATATAAAGAATTATAATTCTGACTGCACTCATAGTCATATGTTTGTACTTTTTGACCAAGACACAAAAGTTTCCTTGTGTTTGAATAACAATAAAATGAGATGCTAACACCCTGTCTTTACTAGCTGCACATGGTTTGGGATGCAGTGGTCAGTAGGACTAGTTTTATTGCTCTTAGTGAGTATTAGGGCCCAGAAGGAAAAGATCAAGGGAGAAAAGACAATAATAGCAGACGCTGATCCTTACAACTTCGACCCGTACTACGGGTGAGTTTCACTATCATTTAATCCAGATCTCTTTATATATATATGTTGCTCCTTTATAAAAATGTGTATTGTTTTTTAAATCAGGACAATATTTTTGAAACACCCTGTATTACGTTATATATTCACAAAAATAATTCTTGTGTTTGCACAGGGACCTCACATCTAACTGCTCCCAATATAATCGAACGAGCTTATAATTATTTATATAGAGGAAAACCATAGATTAACTCATTTCCCACAGAAATTAACTCATTTCCCGCATAAATTAACTCATTTCCCACAGAAATGGAGGAGGAGGAGGTGGATACAACCCGTACGACAGAGTGCCAGGTACCCGACCAAAAGACCCAGAATGTAAGAACTGTGAACAGAGGCCCTACATCGTAAAGGGTGACACCGGGACCACTGGTAAACCAGGATTTGAGGGCCCTAGAGGAGGTAGTGGTGAGCCGGGACCTCCTGGTAATCCTGGAGCTATGGGCAGCAGGGTGAGTGTGAAACCTTGTTCTTCTCTTTTTTTATAATTTTCTTTTTTGAAAACCTACTTGGTGAAGTTTTAGTTGAGTGAAGAGGAATATGCATTGGAAAACACAGCTATATGTAATGGTGTTGTAAATAACACTGATATAATTCAGCTTGGATTGGTGAAATACGGGTAGACCACATGACATGACAATTATAGTACTATAGTAGCTTCCCGTTTATTGCAGTTATAGTGGGATCTTTTACTTATTAACTCCACCATAACCCTCTCTACTCTCCAGGGTCCAGCAGGAGCAGCAGGACCAAGAGGGCTAGCCGGAGAAGTGGGTGAGGAAGGACCAGCGGGTAGCAAGGGATTTGAAGGAGCCAGAGGACGACCAGGTGTGTATTCAAGCTTTTCATTTAAAATTAAAACAAGTCCTTTATATTGTGGAGCCAGGGTTTGTACTGGATACACCTAGTTATTGAGTTAAAACGCCTCCATCCCATTACGTAATACTCAATAAATGTAATAGATTTGTATCTGTATGGCGAAGAATTAAAATGATAAATTAAGCAGCACTATATTTCATATAGGTTATCTAACATATTGTAATTACCTTATCGACCTTTATTTGAACGGAGATTAATTTGACGCTTATGTCCGTTCACGCAATGTCCGTTCAAATAACGTCCGATCATGTATCCGTATAACAATTATTTAAACTGTGTAATCATCGTTATATTTGTTATTTTTATAATATCTGAATGGTAAAAATTTAAAACTAGAGATTCAACAGCACTATTTCTCACTACAAACCGTCAAGTAAAAATAAGTTCAACAATAGAGATTGGAGCTGGTATAAAAGTCATAAATTGGCAGTTGAAACAACAACAAAAGACTCTTTTAAAAACCCTAAAAAGTATGATATGCATCCTCCTAACAGTAACAACATTCTAAAAATATCTCCAATAGGCAGACCAGGTAGACACGGCGTAGACGGTAACCCCGGACAAGCTGGTATAGATGGGTGTAACGGTACCAGGGGAGATGATGGTACTCCTGGTACCCCCGGAGTTATAGGTCTCCCTGCATCTGCTGTGAGTTTTTAGAGTTTTAGAATGGAAATATAACAATGATCGGTGACGTAATATCAAATTAAAATAATTTATTATACAACTGGCCAGTCGATGCTATTAAACATAGTATTTATACTTGATGGTATAACGGGAATCGGTCACGAGGGCGAACTCACTGAGTTCGCCCTCGTTGAGTGAATCAGCCTTTTGATCAATGGTTTTCCAAAAAGTAATAAAACAAATTGTGGGAATTTTTGTGATAATTTGAATAAGTTATTACTTGGGATAATCATCACTCATTATAAGTAAGTGTCTGTAAAGATACGTAATCGAATCAAGATCATAATAACATAATATCAGCGTCAAAAATACTTTATGGACACGTTCATTTGAGTTTGAGGATATTGGTAAACAAAAATGATAGCGTTTTCGACGATAGTGGCTTAATTTTGACATCTATTAACCTAGCACGTTCAGAAGTTCTGAACATTAGCCACGTAACCCATACTCCCATATGCACTGCTCAGAAAGAAAATCTATTGTTGTTAGGCACTATAATGGTTCAAATGTCACATTTTGTGTGACTTAGTTAACTGCAGTTGTCTAATTATCATTCCTTGGTCTGAAATATAGTAGATTAGGTCAATCTAACAATTATGATACAACATTGGTTAAAGGGCACGGATCGAACGGTTACAAGGCAATATTTGGGTAACTTTGTCACACTCAGAATACCATACCTCTATTCTACTATGAGATGTCCTCAAAAACCTTTTAACTCATTATTTGATGGTTGATCTACCAATCAAAGCCCTAAAATATGTTGTTTCGAATAGTTAGCTAAAAAGGCACTTGGTTATTGGGAAATGAGGTAAATTCCGTCACAATATTTGGAATTTTAAATTTTGGGCGAATTATTTATATCTGATTTTGGTTTGAAAGGCGGGAAAACTTTGATGACAATGTAGTTGATGCAAGTTAAGATCAGTGTTTACATTGTCACAAAAAATGATACGAAATCGTAAATAGGTTAAAAATAATGATTATAGAATGAAATAGTCTCTTATAATAACTCTTATAATAACTGATGTGACAAAGTAAACATGTCTTGCCCCTATTTGAAGATCTGTATATTCTATGACTCTATTAGCATTCAACATTCTTTGCTATAAATGGCTACAGCTAACACTATTAATGCTAAGTACCAAACAACAAGTGGGAGGTGGATCGTTGGTATACCGTTAAATCGATTTAACACCGCAATTCCAGTCGCAAGCCTGGGACCACTACTAGCATTGTCACAACATCTACAAAGCTGCCATATAGCCTGACTGACAATTTTCTCGACTGACTGACAATGTTTCTTCTTTTCCCCATTTAGAATACAAAGATTAGTACATTTTAGCTTATGATTAATATTATATTTTTACCTATAGTTTACCTAGATTTCAGACAAAAATCGGTAGAATATTGTCCAGAACATCAGAGCTCAAGTTTAACAATTTTAGGTTAAATTTGTCAAAATCACTAAAAATGTGACAAAATTGACTTTTCCTGCCCCAACAATTTCAAGATAGTGTGTAAAAATTAGCATAGGCTGCTTTATTACCTATATAAATCAATCCAAACTACGAAAAAGATCTGTTAATCTGATGACGATTACCTAACTCTAATAGTAACTGATGTGACAAAGTAAACATGTCTTGCCCCTATTTTGAAGATCTATAACTCTATTAGAATTCAGCATTCTTTCAGAAACGATTGGTAGAATATTGTCTAGAACATCAGGGCTCAAGTTTAACAATTTTAGATTAATTTGTCAAAGACGCTGAAAATGTGACAAAATTAACTTTCCCTGCCCCAAAAATATCAAGATAGTGTGTTAAAATTGGCATAGGATGCTTTATTGCCTATACTATATTAATCGATTCAAACTACGAAAAAGATCTGTTAATCTGATGACGATTACCTAACTCTTATAATAACTGATGTGACAAAGTAAACATGTCTTGCCCCTATTTTGAAGAGCTATACTTCTATTAGAATACTATGTAACTTTATCATCAATGAACTAGTTATTTTGCCAGCAAGGAGCTAACAGAGTTATAATAATTTTGTTGTGACGAAATTACCCTATTTTTGACCATGTTGCGGTAGTTTAATTGTGACACTGTTAACATATTGCCACCCGATAATGATTTATGTGACTGATGCGTGGTACTAGCAGTGTTGTTTGATCCATAGTATGTAATATAAGGGGTTTAAGCTGGTATATCATTATTTGTTTAATTTCACACATGTTCAGATATCATCAAGATTATGTGACAAAGTAAACTTGTTTGTGCCTTCTGTGTTTTAATTCCTTACGACTATATGATATAATAACAATTCCTAGCACTTCCAGGCCATCAAATAAACCTACACTACTCAGCATTGCTTATCAGGGTGCCCTAAACATTCTTCACATGTTTTCTTAAATGTGTGACAGAGTAAACCTGAGTGCACCATCTAACGAAAAAAAGTCGTCAAATATGTAGGTAATGGTCATATGTACCCATCCAATCAACTGGACACCCAAAAATTTGGTCAAAAACGGCAGCAAGGGGTCCATATTTACTCCGTCACATGTTTATAGTGTGACAATGTAACCATTTCCGTGCCGGCCGTATTTAAGCGATATCTTATCACCTGATTAAAATATCGTTAAGTGACAAAGTTAGCCTAGAGGATGAAACGGTTATCCTAACCATCAAGGGTTTGTGTAATTTCATAGTGTGACAAAGTCAACTACACTGTGCCTTTTAATAGGGTCACTTATATTTACCAATATCCTCAAACTCAAATGAACGTGTCCTTATACGCATGAAAAGAACCCCAATTCATTCGACCTTTTGTCTATATTATCATGAATTGATTATAAAATACCTTTCTAAGTACTCTATTTTATATTTACAGTGCTGATCGTGGCTTTTTAAGGTATAAGCACGCTCAAATCACATTATAAGTTTGGATGGGCTTTAAAATCAATCCACTCTTCCATTCAATTTACATATGATAATCATCACTTTGAAAACGTAGTCCTGTTTAATTGACTCCCCTTAATAATTTTGTCTGCTTCTTCTTCAACTCCCATCTGCTTATGCAGCATATTAGATTAAAGTCGATGATTTCTGATTTTACGAGATAAATCATCTAACTTAGTCATTGTTATGCAGCTTGGTCTCTCTCGTCATAGCTCCCTTGTTCGTCTCAGAGTTGGGTTATCATTTCTTTGTTGTCTCGTACTCCAGTCATCTCTGCTGTGCCTGGAACTCCTCCGTCTTGCACTGCTACATAATTTAGCTCAATGGTGTTAGCTGTTGATAATCGTTGAAATCTTAGACTTAACTCTCGGTAAATTCTTGAACCATTGATTAGGGTTCCGAGTCTTTGGATAGGTACGCTAATAAGGTTTGTTACAGTGTCATCATAGATTAGTGGGTTTATGACTGAGTTGATGGGTAGAATAATCATGGAAAACAGGCCATACCATGGTGTTGCATCTACCACATCAAGGGAATGTAGGACACAGATCACTATGAAGGGCACCCAGCAAAGGAAATCTGTAGTGATGATGATGGTAATTCTTAAGTTCATTTTTCTATTGCGTTGAGTTATCTGTCGGTTCCCTCCTGACTGAGTCAAACTTTTAGAAGATTTGCGAGATATGATGGCAATGATTAAGTATGAAGCTGTAATGAAAAAGAAGCAAACAAAGTTCAGGGCAAGAATTGCCCATACCAAGTGCCTCTGTGGATCATTTTCTTTGACAAAATATTTGAAGAGGCAGACTCCATCGTTTCCATAGAATTCTACCTTTTGTATGTTTTTTGTGTAATCTTCATACCTATTATCGTGAGAATACATCTCGGACATCATTTTGTTGATCAAATGCCAACTGAGTGTTTTTTCTTTCATTCTACCAAAGTATCCTTGAAAGACGGCAAATAGCGCCTGCTTGTTCATTGTTCCAATAAATATTTTTAGCTCTTCTGCATATTTTACTCCATTGACGAATAAATCCTCAAATTTGGAGATAATTGGGATAACAGCAATGATAATGGACGCCAACGTCATCATAAAAACACCTCCGGCAACTTGGAGTGATTTTATTAAGGTAACTTCTCCCGGAATTCTCATAGAATGTTTTATTCCAAAAATTCGGGTGAGGCTCAGTGCACACATAGCAAAAAGCGAGACTTGAGATCCTATGGTGCTAAGAACACCAATAATTGAACAGTGGATGCTGGTAATCCAACCAATCTGCTGAGTACAATATTGTTCCTTGAAGATTACACCATCATAAACTGATATGACGAATAAGTAGATACGAACTAAAAGGTCTCCAAAAGATATCATCATGATGAGGGACTTATTGAACAGAGCTACTGTGGTTTTACAGTTCTTTAAAGTTCCAGTATTTTTGGACAGGATGATAAGATTTGCCAGGACGGCTAGAAATCCTATAACCCACGATGAACATTTGAGAGCATATCCTTCTAGAATCTGTCTTGAACACTGGTTATTACATTCGTCTGTTAAATCCAGGCAGTCAAATGATCCGTCACATTTCTTTGTCACCGGTATGTAGCTACCGTCACACTTGAAATTATTTCTGCAGCTGTCCTCATCCGAGCCATCCCCGCAATTATCGATGAGATTGCATACTTGGGAATAATCAATGCAAGTGATATTGTTGTCACAGACAAAACACTTGTTCGTATAAATATCTTCATTTGATTTTGTGACAAATGTTAGGTATTCGTCATTGGCTATCGTCCCTATTCTATTTTGATATTGTCCTGGACAAGCCTCATATCTAGGGGTACTTCTCAGTGGACAAGAGGAACTGAAACACTTGTCTGCACAACTAGTGTACAAATATTGTTCTCCAAACATGTGGTCACAATTTTGAAGAATGTTTGGCAGGATAACCGTTGTATTGGTTCCTCCGTAAACGTTTTCATTAGAAAATCTAAACGTGCTGATAGTGAAGCAATGATTTTCGAAGTTTTTAGTGTTTTTTATCCCCTTTATGCAGTATGATAAATGCTTTGTCATGCTTTTGTCCGTTGATAAAACAGTTGCGGACAGTTGCAGTTGTTTGCGGGACTCAGAGCAGATCTTATTTTCATTTCCACATGTTTCAACTCCATCACATAGTTTACTAAATTCCACATATCCAGGTTCTCCCCATGGACAAAGGTACACATTTTTACACGTCTTGTTGTTGGTGGTAACAAATCGTAATGATTTGTTGCTCCCACAAGTGGGCCAAGTGCCATCTTCATCGATTCCATTCAAACAGTCCTTAAACCCATCTCTTAACCAAGCTAGAGGTATTGGGAGTTCCCTTTTCTGGCCGATGCGTCTTTCACACTTTTTCAGTGTCATGGTGTTGCATATAAGACCATTTTCATCACTTTTATCATTGCAGTCTGGTCGAGCATCACACATGAAGTGCCTGTGAACAGTACACTGGCTTGAGGTTTGTAAGCACTGGTTCTCAAAGTTGTCGTCACAAATTGCCTTTTTACCCGAGCAGATCATATGTTTTGATACAGAGGACAAGTATCCGTTAACAAGACACCTTACCCCTACTCTGGCGGGATCTGAACAGTTTGTTTGATATGGAGCATAATCACTGCAGTAGCTGTTGTAATAATATTCTAACACTGTACATCTTGTAAAGTTGTGTACTGGTACTGTAAGTTTACTTCTGGAATGTTCACAAGTGTACTGTGTTTCATTAGTAACGGTACAGTTAGCTTCGTCCACTCCGTTAACACAGCTCTTATATCCATCACATATATAGCGTGGTATTATGTATTTTAATATTCTTGCTATAGATGGAATGTCATTGTCACAATACATACCGTAACTGTATCCGTTACATGTAGCCTCGTCCTCACAGAAGTCATCATCACACTCATCATTACAGATTTTGTTGGACGCTATCTTTTTTCCACTCGGCATAGTTATCATTTCGCTGCATCCCTCTTTATCTAGTTCTGTATTGACACAGTCAGATTGTCCATTGCAAATTAAATAATCATGTACTAATGTGTTCCTGATTTTACCCAATCTAGTCTGACACATAAATCCTCCACAAAGATTGTTGCTATTCGTTATCTCCATATTATCTGCTGTAGTGAGGTGACCAGTGCAGGCCTGATAATAGTGCGGATCATTTGAACATAAAACTGACACTACTTGCCAGTAGTTCTTCCAATAATACTCCTCTGTGTTGTGACACTTATAGAGCCTGTTATACCTCGCCCTCAAACATACCTGTTTCAAAAACCCTGTTTCTTCTTGAAAACTGCACGATTCTGCAAAGTGTTTTCAAGAGTGACACTCAATAAGCTAACGTAATTCCATTAATTATCCATTACAAAATTTAATTTCTTTAAACTGATGTAGTAGTCGATTTTAATTTGTATACGTAATAATATAAGTGATATAATTACCTTGGATAATTGAAGTTGGAACTTCGGACCAAGCTCTTGTGGTGAATAGTGGTGTCGTAGTACTCTGTGGTGATGATGGAAAACCGAGTTTCAACAGAATCAGTAATGTCGTAAGTTTCATAGCTCCATAATCTAAAAAATATTTTAGCTAAGATGATATTGAAAAGTGATTGGAAATCAAAAGACACTCCAAACCCACCTCCGTCTAATATAAAATCAAGCTCACGGGTGAAACGTAGACAAATATTAAAACACATCCCCGCAAATGGCATTTAAATTAAAATTCCTATTACTTGCCGGTTATAGTTTTCGCCAGGTCCTGAACAGCTTAGTCAAAGATGCAAAATATAGAGCAACCTTCTGCAACGATTCTTCTTCATTCAAAGTGAATTTCAACTAACTGTTATAATGTTATAAATCTACATTGAAAACGTCAAAAGACCAACGGTAGCGGTTTACCAGAAAATCTAAACATCTAAAACTAAGGCTTGGAATCTCAGTAAGAGCAGATGCTTGTGAAAAATTTTAGACGATTGAATAGCACATCATCGTTCTGTAAGACTAAATTGAGATCCATGACGTACTTCCCGCCTGTTGAAATGTAATTTTTTTAGGTCCTATAAAAGTATAAAGGAGGAGCTACAACTCAACAAGCGCCCTGTTTAGTCCTGAAGGGACTGTTGTATATTTGTATAATCGATAGTGATAAATAATAATAATAATTAACTTAATAATAATTGATGAATTATTAATTTAATAATAAACACCGTCTAACTGCATGCAAGAAGCATCAGAACCCATGTGCTGAGCTACTTTATAAATTTATCGTCTCTGCCGGCCAACAGAATATGATAGCGAAATAAAAATAATTAACTCATGCTAGGAATCTCAGTAAGAGCCCCTGTGCACGTGACGATTAAATGGCACAGTCCACGTGCCGGGCATTATTTTGTGGTAAAAATAGTCCTTTCCTTGCGTTAATATTATCAGCTGGCGAAGTAATTTGCCCTCGTAGTGGTCGTTAGGATAGATCCAAAGGATGGTTGTGATATTTGTAAACCATTATCTCACTGCTGCACTGTGCAAGAAGAATTTGAATCAGGACAGATGGTGTTGGTCTCCTTCTGAAAATTACAATTTTACAATATTTTCCGCGATCCTTCGTCACCCTCGAGCAACGCTACTGGAGAAATTATCACCCCAGCAGACATGGAATAAAGATCATTGCATTTAATCATAAAAAGATTTGTTCTTTATAGTGGGAGTCTCTTACAGATCTTTATAAAACTTTATGAAAGGTCCAAGATAGTCGTTAGGATAGTTCTAATAACATAAATCGTATCCATATAATATAGTTGTACAGGAGCCTTTATAAGCTTCAGTTTTAAAATTAAAAATTTTAAAACTGAAGTATTTAAGCCTTTTACATAGTGTGAGTTTTAGTATGTGACTGTTATTCTAGAAAAGTGATGTCAGAGACAGAGACAATAAGAATGAGCAATGTGTATTATAACGTTACCACAAGTTGACATGCATCAGATTGTAGCTTTAAAAGAAATAATTATCTTTGCTGAACATGACGTATTCTTGCAATTAATACAACAAACTTGTTGCCACGTTCAACCTTATGACTCAAAATAGTTAAATACAAAATTTATCCACAAATCCTCCACAAAGAGTATTTCCATTTGTTATCACCATATTATCTGCTGTAGTGAGGTGACCAGTGCAGGCCTGATAATAGTGCGGATCATCTGAACATAAAGCTGACATTCCTCGCCATTTGTTCGTCCAATAATAATAATACTCCTCTGTGTTGTGACACTTATAGAGCGTGTAGTAACTCCTTCGTCTCGAACATTACATACCTGTTTCAAAAATCCCATTTCTTCTTGAAAACTGCACGATTCTGCAAAGTGTTTTCAAGAGTGACACTCAATAAGCTAACTTTTCCATTACTTTACCCAAAACAAAAATTACTGTCTTTAAACTAATGTAGGTCGATTTTAATTTGTACACGTAATCATATAAGTAATATAATTACCTTGGGTAATTGAAGTTGGAATTTCGGACCAAGCTTTTGTTTTGCGTGTGATGTAATCTGTCGTAGTTATACTCTGTCTGCGCGAAGGACCCAAGGGCGAAAGTTGATCACATGACACAAGGACAGGACGCCGCAGCAGTCACCTGTCGCAGGATCACTAGTCGAGTGGTACTGATCATTCTAGACGTTTTCGTCCTTTCGTCATGTGATCGACTTCCGCCATACTGTCCTATACCCGTTATTATAAAACTTTCAGGGTGACCCTGGAAAGCCAGGTAACAGAGGAAGACCAGGCGCACCTGGATTGAGGGGAGGACCTGGAGACTCGGTAATATTAACATTGAATAACTACTATAAACTACAACCTGACACTTTCTTGATAAGTCCATCCTCTTTTAAGACTGAAAGTTCGCCTTGATACCCTTATATCCTTATGAATGTTACAACTTTCAATCTAGCCAACGAATAAATATTAGGTAAATGTAACGATTAATGTTAACAGGGTAATGACGGTGCCCCGGGAACTCCAGGCAATAGAGGGCTGCCAGGAGATGTTGGCAAGGTTGGAGAGGCTGGAATCGGGGGATACCCAGGGACTCCTGGTCGACCAGGTATGTTCATAGCTACTCCTTTTCAAAGCTTTAACTTCAAGACTGTATTCATATCAAATTTAATCGTCATTCTTCAAAACAATCTTATTACTTTGTTATTTCAGGAAATCGAGGCGAGCCCGGAGAGAGAGGGTCGAATGGTATAGTCGGAACACCAGGATTTGTTGGAGACCTAGGTCGGGCTGGCAAAGATGGAAGACCTGGTAGACCAGGCTTACCTGGTGCTCTCGTAAGTCACATCTACTGAGTTAAATCACCTACCATATCACCTTGCCGAGCTAGTTTGAATCCTTTGTATCATAATTAAGATAACTTCGTAAAATTCGTCATGTTTTAGGGACAATCAGGATTATCAGGGGAGAGAGGGGAGCCAGGTAGGGATGGAAGGAACGGCTATGCTGGAGCTGGAGGTGAGCCTGGAGTACGAGCTAGGGATGGGAACCCCGGTCGAGACGTTAGTTAATATCCTCACTGGTCTTGTGTTCTTAATTTAAATAAATGTCAAGATGCAAATTTAAATTCATCTCAAACGATTTCATGATTTCATGATGAAACATAACAAGATGCTGACAAAACGTCACCAGGGAAGACCAGGTTTACCGGGAGCTCGAGGAGGCACTGGAAGGAAAGGAATATCCGGTACACCCGGAGAACAGGGTGTGTCAATCACTGGAGGTAGAGGTGATGTAGGGTTACCTGCAGCTGGCCGAGTTAAAATTGGTACTCCTGGATTCAGAGTGAGTGGAAGCTCGTTTTTTCTAAAATCTAGTATTAAGTCGGTTGAAAACCTTTCGGTGAATTTTAATTCTACCATCTGGTATATGTTAATGTTTTTTGTTCTTGACATGATCTATCGCATTTAGGGAGATGCGGGTAAACCAGGAACGAATGGAGCTAAAGGAAACAAAGGCTCTATCGGAGCTGACGGTCGTAATGGCTTTGCTGGAAGGCCGGTAAGAGAGAAAAAGAGAATGTGACTAGAACTCTCTGATTATATGACAAATTCGGAAGCTTCTTCACAAGAATTAATTTGTATGTAAGAAGATAATATCCCTGATAGCAAGTTATATTCATCGAATAAACTACATTAACATTTTAGGGAGAGAATGGTGCGTATGGTAAAGCTGGTGTAGATGGGAAAGCAGGAAAACCAGGGATACCAGGAAAACCAGGAAGTAGAGGTGAAGGAGGAGTGTCAGGAGAAGTAGGAGATCCAGGTATGCCTGGGAGAGCTGGTAACAGAGGGTTACCCGGGACACCTGGATATGAGGGAGAACGGGTAAGTTAGAAGGGTAGATTTATGTAGATTTATGTAGATTTAGAGTTGTATTTTTATTACCAAATAAACTATCACTTATTTATTTCTACTGGGAAGTTGATCAAATCTTGGTGGTTTCCTGTTTATTGAAGATAGGCTAATAATTTATTATTAATACTGTCCCCTTTAGTTACTCGGGTTATCACAATAAACTGCAGGGTGAATTAGTGGGTGGTAGACTCGGAGAACCAGGAGCTGATGGAAAGATAGGACTGCCTGGCAGAAAGGGACTACGTGGGGAAAATGGGCAGCTCGGCAGAAACGGTGAGCAGCATTGGTCCTTATTAAGTTTCCCTATTTATTTTAAAGAACATCCTCTTTCCTTGATCTTATTTGTTTATTCGACTTTCTCATCAAATTATAGTCGCACTTCGATCTAAAAGTTTGTAAATCACAACTTTCTCCCACTATATGACAGCCCCTCTTTATAGGTACACCCGGCCAGAAAGGTCTTGCAGGAGATGTAGGGATAGACGGTACTCCAGGCAGGTCTGTGATGGGTGCCAGGGGGAGACCTGGTGCTGACGGGACGATGGGTTGAATGGAGAGAGGGGAGATCAGGGGAGGGAGGGAGAACCTGGAACCAATGTGAGTAAAGTTTCTCACTAGTTTGAAATAAGTTTTCCTGGTGAAAAAGGAACAGCTTCAACAGTTTAATAATATTATGAGCACTAGCAGAAACCCGTCTAACTTTAAAGTGGTTTACATATAGTAAGATACACTGCCACTAACTCCAACAATTACAGGGACTACTAGGGTCTCGAGGAAACGTGGGGAAGCCTGGAAAGAACGGTTTCGCGGGCAGACCTGGTAACCCGGGTACTCCAGGAAAAAGAGGAGAGAATGGAAACTCAGGATCACCTGGCAGGCCAGGTAGGGATAAAGACTTTCAATAAATAACATTCATTCTCTCCATCTCAATTCTTAAACATACTCAGATATACTGTCCGAAAAGATTCGCGGCTGGTGATCTACCTGCTTTCGGTTTTGATATTGATTTACCGATCATTTTTCATACATTTAAATTTTGTTTTCGTTGACTAACTAAAGTGAAATTTGTATTGCAGGATACGACGGTGTACCAGGAGAGAAGGGCACGTCAGGAGTCAACGGTTTGGCTGGAAGACCTGGGACACCCGGGGAGAGGGGAACTGATGGTATCAACGGAGAGGTTATTTATTGCTGTTATCATATAATAATATCAATTAATCAGTTAAACAAGTTAATTAATATTTGAATAATAAAGCTTTCGGATGATTATCCGTATGTACAAAAGATTTATGTAATGTCCTTTCATTGTCCTTTCTAGTCGTGTCCTGTATCCTTTATGATAAAAACAATAAACATCAGCTCGAACGAAAGCCAGGGAGAGATATTAAATTTGATTTTAAGATGATCAGGTTGTAAAATTTTACATTATAAATTCTTTGTTTAAGATTATTTATTTTTCTCAGCCGGGTTTGGACGGACTACCTGGCCGAGACGGTCGTAAAGGAGCTGGCGCTTACGATGGGAGACCTGGCTTACCTGGTGCACCCGGTCAAAAAGGTGGGTTATAATTTATCTGTGATCAAACACTTAGCACTCATTAATTTATATCTACCAACAAGTAAACCGAAACTCGAAATATTACATGACAACGGATGGAATATTCAAGTTTATTAGTATCTCAATCCTTGGTCCCCAGGTAACTCTGGTATCCCCGGAAAAAGTACCCCGGGTAGAGTAGGAGAACCTGGAAACATTGGCAGGGACGCAGTGAGGGGAGAACCTGGTAACGATGGTTTACCTGGTAGACCAGGACTTAGGGGTGAGTTATAGTTGCTTTTATACTAATAAAATTTATAGTTGATTTTATACTAATAAAATTTATAGTTGCTTTTATATACTAATCTTATACTTTTAAGATTTTATTTTTATAGCTTTCTCTCAATTTTTTAGAGTTCTGATCGTCTTTATGAATTGATGTATTACCAAGACGAGTTCGTTAGTGTTCTCCTTGGTCATTTCATGTTTAATTTCTGTTAATTCCTGTTTAGTTCCTGTTAATTCTTGTTTAATTCCTGTTTACAAATATCAACGAGTCTGTATGTTAGAATGATTTACTGAGGCAAAGCTTTACAAGGATATTTCGTAATACACCAAAAACTCGTTAGTTCGTTAGTGTTCTCCTTGGTCATTTCATGTTTAATTTCTGTTAATTCCTGTTTAGTTCCTGTTAATTCTTGTTTAATTCCTGTTTACAAATATCAACGAGTCTGTATGTTAGATGATTTACTGAGGCAAAGCTTTACAAGGATATTTCGTAATACACCAAAAACTCGTTAGTTCGTTAGTGTTCTCCTTGGTCATTTCATGTTTAATTTCTGTTAATTCCTGTTTAGTTCCTGTTAATTCTTGTTTAATTCCTGTTTACAAATATCAACGAGTCTGTATGTTAGAATGATTTACTGAGGTCTGAGGCAAAGCTTTACAAGGATATTTCGTAATACACCAAAAACTGTTAATTTGAGGCTCTAAAGATGTAGTTTATTTACGAAGGATTGGAGCTTGATATTGTGCGTTTCCCTTCGTGTCCAAATGCAACAAAACCTGTTCATCTCGTAAATTGTGATTTTACATAAATTATTGTCACCAGGACAGCCAGGAGCAGCAGGAAATCCAGGAAGAAGAGGAGGTCCAGGAGATCAAGGAGAGGCTGGTCTTAACGGAGATCCTGGACTTCCGGGAGAAACCACTTTTGTAAGTCTGTTTTCTAATCTTCTAATGGATTACGATGTTGATACTTTGATAGCAATACTCCGATATTTTATAATGGAGATTAAACTACAATTTTTTCTTTTGTAAATAGCAGCCCAATACTTTATTCTTTCTTTATTTTGTATTGCCTCAGGGACTGCCCGGATCACGAGCAGAGCCAGCTGCTGATGGAAAGCCAGGGATGATGGGGAGGCCCGGAGAGCGAGGAGTAGCTGGCACCCCCGGACTTCCTGGTAGAGACGGATATCCGGGAACTGTGGGACCGGACGGGAACCCGGGTACTGACGGGATACCGGGACAACCTGGGGAACCTGGCAGGGACGGAATGGTAGGGTGTTCTTATATTAAGTGTTTTTGAATTTCGATATTTTTGTATTGTACAAGAACAAGTTCTATTTATGAGGTTTTGTACTGTTCGTACAAGTATTAGTTAAGTAAACGTACTAAACTCTTGTTAAGTTTCAGTACCAGCTATCAGATTTTATGACTGCTCCAGTTTAATTTATTGACAGTTACTTTTGAAATGTCGAATGAAAAATCAAACAGATGTTTTTCTATTCAAGAATCATACAGTACTTATATTGAGAAAAAAGAGCTAAACTAATACAATTGTGTTAGAAAGCCAGAGACGGAGTAGCAGGACGAAAGGGGAGACAAGGAGACCCAGGCTTGAGAGGGCGTCCCGGTAACGCTGGTTCTGATGGAACTCCTGGCAGACCTGGCCTTGATGGAGAAATGGGACGAAATGGACTGGGAATTAAGGGTTATCGAGGAGAACCCGGAACAAGGGTGAGGATTACATTCCCTGGGAGCACATTTTAACATGCAGCTTCTGAAAGTTTAATGTTTATTTCATATTGTATGTTTACATTATTGATTATTATTAAGATTTTTAACTAAACATTCTCAAGGGATTGGACGGAGCCCTTGGGCAGCCAGGTGATGCTGGTAATGACGGTAACCCTGGTAACCCCGGACTCCCTGGAAATAAAGGATATCCAGGATACAATGGCTTACCAGGACGGTCAGGTATGAGAGGACGAAATGGGATGCCTGGCGAGCGAGGAACCCCCACCGTGAGAGAAGGGTTGCCCGGAGCTAAGGGTACACCTGGATACGGCAGACCCGGTCTACCTGGACCGAGGGTGAGTAAATTAAGCCAATAATGTTTATCTTTCTAAGGTCGTTCGTGGTAGTTCAGTTAGAGTGCTGAAAAGTTTCGACAATCTATTCTTGTCTATCATCCAACAATTCTTTATCTAAACTTTTATTTTTACAAGGGTGTACCAGGGGTAAATGGAATACGAGGAATGCCAGGAGACCCAGGCGAGAGAAGAACACTACCTCCCGGTGACGCTGGATTACCCGGACGACCTGGTGTTCCCGGTAAAAATGGACTGGCCGGAGACCCGGGTCTGCCAGGTCGATCAGGGTTCCCTGGTACACCAGGAGAGTCTAGGAATGGAAGAGATGGGTTGCCCGGTAGACCGGGTTATAGGGGGGATCCTGGAACGAGAGGAAAAGATGGCCTTAATGGAGAAAGGGGTGTTAATGGAATGCCGGTTAGTTTAAATTTAAGCCAGATTGATACATTTCTTTGCAGACGACATAGGTTGTTTAACTTTAAGAGTTTAAGTTATTGCAATTAAAGTACGTTCTGGGGTTTTATTTAAAACTCACATGCTATTATGATTTTTAATTTTAACCAAAGGTTGATTTAGAATTTTACACCTTATCTCAGGGTCGTCCCGCGTACGGAACCGTCGGAAACCCAGGAGTAGCAGGGAGGGATGGTAGAAACGGGTTACCTGGCAGGAAGGGTTACCCTGGGGACCCTGGACGGAATGGTTTGAGAGGTATTCCTGGTAAAGATGGGGCTCTGGGTACTGCTGGAGAAGCTGGCCTTCCTGGTAGAGATGGATACCCAGGTAACGTTGGGGTTCTTGAAAATCAGTAAAATTAAGCTTTTAAATTGAGATATGAAAAAACAAAATTTTCATTTCATATCTTCCTCGAAAGATAATAACATAAAAACTTGTAAGGACGTGACGGGTACCCTGGTGCCATGGGTGATCCTTCATATGGTCTGCCCGGTACTAATGGAGGTAAAGGTGAACCTGGTGAAGCTGGTACTACAGGGAACGATGGAATTGATGTATGTTTAATTAATTATAACTTTGTAGAGCTTGAGTTTTTATTAGTAATTATTATGGAGTGGTTCTTCGTTAAGATTTGTCTCCTTTTCATATAAGTTAATTTATGTATCAATAAATGAACTTAGTAAACAAAAGCTAAACAACAACAATAAAAAGTGAATTCCTCTATCACTAGGGTATACCGGGAACTCCTGGTGTTGATGGAAGGAAAGGATTCCCCGGCAATAACGGACTATCTGGACGGAATGTGAAAGGCAACCCAGGTTAGAAGATGAAAGAAAATTATTTAAAATAAACGCCGACCATCGCCATAGAAATATAAATACATAAAACTGTTATTATTCTGATTCTCACATGAACTTGTTTGTAGGAACACCTGGAACGAACGGACGTCCCGGAGAAACCGGCTTAATTGGAACTAATGGAGCGGACGGAGCAGCAGGAAGAGCAGGGAGAAAGGGATACCCTGGTAATCCCGGTATTAGTGGGACCCCTGGTGTGAAGGGAGATAGCGGGGATGTCGGACTTTCTGGTCGAAAAGGCTACCCAGTAAGCGTGGGCATATAATTTAGACTTCTTACAATCTACAAACTATTTTACTTGAAACATATGTTAACATGGTTACAGCACGAATTTTACAATGTTTAGTTTAATATTAGTATGAAAAAATCACCATCTCACTTCACCCAGGGAAGACTGGGTTCCCCCGGCAACAGAGGATCCATTGGTCCAGCTGGAGACACCGGAGCTGACGGATCTCCAGGGTATGGTGGACTACCTGGTCGAGATAGCAGCCCCGGCAGGAAAGGGTACCCTGGTGACCCTGGGTTATCTGGTGCAGACGGTAAAGCTGGAGCACGAGGAGCTGATGGTAATAAGGGACAGCCGGGGTTGGAGGGATTCACCCCTAGTAATGCTCCTGCTGGTCCACCTGTAAGATTTTTGTTATTTGTTACTTGCATGCTACTTATTTTCTATTTTGGTCTTTGTTGTTTGTTTCTTTGCTTATAGTTGCTACTTAACATTTTGGTCAAAGAAACACACATCAGGATAACGGAAATGAGTTTACAAATAAATTCGCAAAATGATTAAAATGCCCAGAGGTAACACTATACAACCAGGGGTTTATAGGCTCCCGAGGTGATCAGGGAGACAAGGGTAAGACTGGTTACACTGGCACACCTGGAGACGAGGGAAAGTGTGGTGACAGTGGTCTGCCAGGTCAGTCTGGAACATTCAACATGTACACAAATGTCAGCAGACATCCTGTTTTATTGTAAAGTGGATTTCAAAGTGGATTTCACTATTTCATCAAGATTTCACCAATATTTACCGATATTTCTCACCATGTCAGGTGAAGTGGAGTCTACACCAGAACAGCTTGCAGGAGAACCAGGAGAACCAGGAGAAGCTGGAGGCAAGGGTAGCGTTTTAAACACCCAATACGCTCAAATACAGACATACGCATTCCACTCCCAGACCAACTCGTTTCAGGCGTGTCCAAGTGGTATGTTACCTGTACTTACTTGTACGTAGTAGTTACCTTATGGACCTTTTAATTCTCTGTTGACAATTGACATGAATAGTGAAATCAGCGCTAAGTTTAAAAATAAAATCTTTGAAGCCTAAAGTGACAACCAAAAGCCCTCCTTAACTTTACTTAAGACCACATGCCTGGATTATTGCGTCTCAGGAATGACGGAGAAATTATGCGGGGATTCAGTTTCCACTACTTTGACTCCTCCTCTGGTAGTGGGACATGGAGTACCTCTCAGCAACCGGGCACTTCCTGTATGGCCACCTTCTCTATCCAGCCTGTTATGGAGTGCACGACTAACACGTGTGAGGTAAGAGTAAAAATAGGAAATTACCTGTACTTACCTGTACTAACCTGTAGGCTGTACTTACCTGTACTCACCTGTACTTACCCGTACTTACCTGTACTTACCTGTACTTACTGTGCACCACCAATTATACTTGTAATTCTAACCATCAGGTAAAATTAAATTAAAAACTTCAGACCCCTTCGGACCCCCGCCTTATACAATTATACATGAGGCGGCACTGATTCGTTAACGTGCTTACTTTTAAACTTTAAATCACCAAGGTAAAAGGCGACGACTCTTCCCTGTGGATGCCAGTAGGTGACATCCGTGAAGACATGTCTGCCATCAGAGTACTACCCTCAAGAGGAACATATTGTCGGGGGCAAGGAGAATGATCAGTCCGACAGGTCAGACAATTTATTTCTAGATGTGAGTTCTAAAATTTGCCTTGAGCACAGTTTTGATCCATAATGTTCAAAGATATTCCAAATCCAGAGATAGTGTAAATGATTACCCAAACTCTCTGGCTTATAAAAATAAACTGTCAGTGAGGTAACTGCATTACTTTTCAGGTTCTGTGTGCGAAGTCCCCCTATGCGGTGATGGCTATACACTCCGTCAGTTAGCAGTTGTACCAAGTTGCCCCTGAAAAATGGGAAGAGCTTGGTCGGTTTTAGTCTTATGTTGGTTCGGCAATATTTTTTTTGTAACGTCAAGGGATTATGTAACTTAATGACATGTTTGGTTGGTTAATTTGTACACTATCAGCCTTTTAAACTTTGGATTAGTTCATTTTGCTTTCTTCCTAATTCATATTAGTTGAGACACTCACAATTTAGGTAAACGCTATAATTTGTATCAGCCACTTCAAACAAGCACTGTTTAATCATCAAAAGTTTTGAAAAATATATTAATTTAGATATTAATTCAGATACAGCAACAAGAGAAACCAAATAATCCACAAAACAAATATTAAGATAATACTACTTCCTTAAACCAAGAAGGAAACATGTTTAATCCCTTGTTGCCTTTTTACTCTGATCACATTTATTAACTCCACCAACTGGTGACCAGTCATCATTTCCACACACCTCCCACTGTTGCCACATGCTCTATCTGCGGACTACATATTGTATCTGAATTGCTGTTTGAGTCGGTGAGTTCACCGGTTATTCTCGCAGCCGCCAGTATTTTATAGGTGATCATTGTCTGGTTTCATTCCGTCCTAGAAATTATAAACATAGTATCCGTCCGCAACTGCCTGACCACTTTCAGAGGATCTTTCGAAAATCCATTTAAATGTCTGTCTGACACGTTCTATTTTCATAAGATTTTACTGCCGTTAGATTGACCATGCGGAGTCTGTTTTAACTCGGTCAGGGGTTTGCTCGGGTGAGTCTACAACCCTTTAACAATACACTGATTCAGGATCACTTGTGATTGTAATATTGCCCACATGTTCGAAGTGTTGATCGTCAAAGAATTGATAGTTGTAACCTTTGCGTGAATATTCTTGAGATACCAGCTGCTAGTTGTGAGCGCATTTTGTATTTATGGTTAAAGTTCTGAGCGAATTGGTCGGGTTTTAAGTGTTACATCCGCACGATAGTTACCGAATCAGTCGAGTCTAAGAGCCGGAACACCTGCCCCTCTATCCTTCTGATGTTAGAAATCTCAGCTGCAATAAGCAACGCACGACGGTTCTTGCTACTTGATAGGATCGTAGAGATTATACCTTTTCAAGCTAGGGTCTAACCCGTTGGGATGACCACTTGAGCGCAGACATTTAACCACATCCCCTACTCCACCACGCCCAAGTTCTCAACGAGAGTCTCAACGTTCTCTACTTCCCCAAAACCCAGTGTAATTCTCACGTGGCCAGAGGTGTAAGAGATTGTCTCTGTTCGCTGCCTTGGGCTCCACCTCAAAGCCAGCCTGATGGTGTATTTGAGCTGGGTTGGAGGCGTTCGGTTGGAAAATGGACAATAAAAGTTCCATACCCTCGAATAATTTCCAGGTCTCGGCGTTGGGTTTAACAGAGGTTAGCCTCAATATACTGATCATCAATCGTCATCTGAACGAGGGGGACAGCAATACCACGAGGTTTATCCGCTAAGTGTCTGAGATGGGGTGGTAACACATATCTGATATATCATGTGATATCCCAGCGTAACTACTACACTCCCCGTGGTTAGCTACAGTCGTAGTGTTGGGCGTTTGCCAATACCGATACTGCTTTTAGTCTGAACCTATCGTAGTCTAACCCGAAATATGCAGTATATTCTTCAACTTTATCTGGTTGTCATGGAAACTGCCATATCAATCAGGACAGTCGTGAAGCCAAGTTCTCAGGTGTTCTCATCACAATTGAAGTTATTGTTCTCAACAATATAGAGGCAAGCCTCATCTTTAAAAGTGAATCAACACGACTGACCCTTAGCCCTCCAAACTGGTGTCTAAGCTATAAAGATGGGGAGACATTCACGGTTAGGCGAAGGGTTTACTCGGTGGTAGAAACCCGAACTTGCTGTCCAGTGTAGTTCCAGGCCTTCTGTGGGTCAGGTTAACTTCAGGTACTGATTTCTTGTGGAGGTGTGGTTTGAGCCTGTTCTTGCTACGATCTTCAGTCTTTTTAAGGCTTTTGAACATTTGTGATAGAAAAAGGTTTTCAGTAGCGCTGCGATGGTCTGTTTGTTCGTTCTACTGATGAGAAACTGATCGAGGCCTACTTTTAAATAAAAAATCGTCACAAGGGAACTAACCAAATCCGAGCGATACACAATGGATCGCCAAACTTATCTTCAATCTGATAGTTTGCATTTGAACACGGTGCTGACATAACAAACCAGCAACAAATTATTACTATTCGTATGAACTACAATACGTGAGGTGTAGTTTTACTGATCATATAGCTGCTCCCTTTACCATACACTCACTGGTTGATCTATGCCTACATCGCAATAGTGGTCAGTTTAGATGTATTACTGTAGTTGTACACGGTCTAGGCTTCTAGCAACCCATCCCATGTGAATAACAAATGCGTTTTAATATCAGCCGAATGTAAATGAACTCTCGTTAATGTTTATTTTTGTTTATTTGTTTGTTTATGAACACCGACCCAATCTCCATCGGAAACTGAGGAAACTCATTTTTGCGTCGTGAATACGGGTAGTACCTGCGAGTATAATAACATCGTATATGAGTTACACATAATTGTTACTTATTTATCAAAGTTACGATTACCACCAATAGGGGCGGGACCGTGGTGGCAGTAATAGGTGTACAGTGGAGAAAACACGGCTTCTTGTTCAAGTACTTCACCCCTCAGCTATCAGTAGATGCGTATGTCATGTAAGGTCGTTCATTACTTCATTATTACATGATGACCGAAAAAAATCACCGAAAAAAATCACCGAAAAATGTGTATCATTTATTTTTCTTTGATCTTCTGCAGTAGCATTCGCTTAAAAAGAGTAAATATGTATTTTTCAATGATATAAGCTAAATTTATATACATTGTACATTGTACATTGTACATTGTACATTGCATACATTGTACATTGTACATTGTACATTGCTATCATTGTACATTGATACATTGTAAATTGTACATTGCCACATTGCATACATTGCACATTTGTCATTGTGTACATTGTACATTGTACATTGTGCATTGTGCATTGTACATTGTACATTGTACATTGTACATTGTTTATTGTACATTGTGAATTGTAAATTGTGCATTGTACATCGTACATTGTACATTGTACATTGTTTATTGTACATTGTGAATTGTACATTGTACATTGTACATTATACATTGTACTTATGACACGAGGTAAAGAAGACTTTTCAACGACAGGTTCATGTGGGGAAGCCCAACTGCTCACTGTATGAGTCAACGCATCAGATAACAGCGTACATCAAAGCTTCCGATTTATTCAGAAGATGGTGCGTTTAGGTTAGTGAAATACTTAATTAAGTTTCTAAAAACTATTTTATTTAATGGCCGTAGTCTAGCGAAAATACTTGAAAAAAATTTTTTAATCTATTTTGATTATAAAATATGGCGAAAATAGATTTTGCTTAAATTTGTTAAAAGTGAATAATCGTGATCTGATTTTGGCCCCCATAGGAATTTTCGATGATCGATTGGAAGACGAGTCCATTTCTTCGTTGCGCGGTATGCAGGCGAATGATAGACGTACACATCTAAAGATATTGGAAAGATATTTTGATATGGGTACAATTCATTTCAAATCAGATTCATATCTTTTTTCATCTGAACTCATGCAGTTATTATTATGATAAAAAATATGGGGTTGGATTTGGGGCTTTCGATTTTCTGTCTTCTCCCGTATTTATGAGTTTTTCATTTTCTCCTCTGATGCGATTCCGGATTACTTGTAAAATATTAGTCAATATTCTGAAATTCATGTAGGTTTGTGATTTGTATAATGGACTACACCGCCGATTTAAACGAATTATCAGTGGCGGAAAAATATAGTTTTAGCTTTCTTTTTACATTTGAATTTGTTTTATGATGTTTTTATATCCTTTTGTGATGATTACTGAAAAATAGTTTGATTGATTAATTTATATATCTAAATTTTCAACATCTGGGTGGGTTTTAATAACAAGCCGTTCTTGTTATGGTTAATGGAGACGATTCAGAGTTAAGATTGTGCAAAGGGTACCAGATCTTTTGCTATCAAACCATTAAAAATCAGAAATATTTTTATTGTTTTTTAGCAGATAAATTTTCAATCGATTTTTAATACAGTAAACAAGCAAAACAGTTATTATCAAATCCTCAAATAAAATGAATAAAGCTGCTAAAGTCTCAAAGAATCCATTTTATGTTTAGTGGTTGAAGTTATACAATTATGTTAAATTGCGGATGTCAATTTAAATGGAAAATGGACATTAACATAACCAATATTTATTCTGTGAAATAAAAATATTCAAACCCTCCACCAGGAGGTTCTATATAAAATCCACCTTTGTTCAACGTTTACAACATACGCCAACTATTCAACTCCACCCATAACTTTCCTGATCATCTCCACACATTATTAGTAGGGAGATGTTGCATCTGATGGTTGACTGCTATCAAAAGCCAAACTGTTGTTGGGGGGAGGGGACCCTCTCCTACTGATCCACGTACAGGTCCAGATAGAAGAGATGGGCTTTTGGTCTCCGCTGGAGAGAGTGTTTATTAACATTAAGTTATTAAAAAGAAATTAATTAAGTTGTTAAGGAAAGATGCTATTAAGCTAAGAATAAATTAGACCCGTTGTGTTAATATTTTGGTCTAAGTGGTAACTGATTGGCAGAGCTGCTAAATTATGAAGCATTGAGTCGCATTTTATTGCTTGTTCAGAGACCTAGAGAATCTAAGTACGAACGCAACTAATGTAGTTCACTCAAATCATTGCTATTGAATTTCTGCTTCAGAATTTAATACGTAAGTAACTAAAGATAAGTAATTAGATAATAGGTAACCATTAAATAAGTTAAAAAGTATAAACAACAAACTGTGAGTGAGCACCCAGCAAGTAGGATATAATATACATCAGTTAGAGATCGTAACACCCCGAGGACTCCCAACCCCCACCCCCCCCCGCCCCCCCCCCCCCCCCCGCCCCCCCCCCCACCCCCCCCCCCCCCCCCCACCCCCCCCCCCCCCCCCCCCCCCCCCCCCCCAGCAGAGATACCCATGAGATGTGGCAGTCCGCAATGTCAATATTTACTTAGCCACCACCCAGGGTTTGAAGGTGGCAGTGATCGAGCCGCACTCTGTGTCAGGTCCCAACTTTGTTCTATGAGATAATATTAACAAGGCCACCTGTTGGCGTTCTGGCAGCTGATTGCGAAATCACCCACATGTTCGATTGGGTGATCAAACAGTTTGAAAATGATAAGTACCGTGGCGTTATTCTAAATACCAATCATTAATCCCTCTCACATTTAGTTGTAATTGAAGGACTTTGAAATTAGTCAGCTGTTTTGAATATATCACCTCTAAGCCTCTGAGAAGTAGGTCGACTGTATCAACCCTCTCGCTATCTTTACGGTTTTTCATAACATTTACAATCTCCCCAGCTGTCTCATGAAAGTCTAAACTTTTTTATCTCGCGATTATTAACATTTGTACCTACTCAAGTTAGGTCCAACCCGTTTCGGATGGGTTATTTGCCCAACCAAACAATGACCATTAATCCCCCAGCACACGTCCAGGCCCGCAAAGATAGACGCTAATTCCACACCCCACGAACCTTTTATAGATTTGGCGGAGGCCACAGTTTAAGAATGTTGTGTTCTTGGCAACCATAGCACACCTCCGCCTATCACAGGGGTGGAAAGGGTGTGTTCTCGTAGTTTTCTTGAGATAAAGTCAGTGAAGGCCAATCTTGATATCCTCTGATCATCTTCCAAGAATAAGGCGTTTATCTTACAGAGGTTGGTACTTGTCATATTCATCATCCATAATCACTGAAAAAGAGGCCACCGCTATTCCTTCGGTTTTTGTGAGACAGAGTTGCAAGCAAAACAAGGTTGAGCCCACATTTCTGATACAACCCTGTGGGCTGTCAAGAATGGCCACCACGTCTCCTGCAGCTGCTTGATCCCAAAAGTCTAGCATTAGTAGCGATACCAACACTGCTGTTTCTCTGTACCCCACCATCTTAATCCAGCACAACTGCTGAAAGTGTTTGAAGCCCATCCTGCCACTGGTGGTTCTGGAAGCCTTCCGTCATCACACAGGATGATCTCGATGGAGAGAGATGGACTGGAGTTCGGAACACTAAAGTGGTCAAATGTCCTCTACAGTATAGACAGTAGTTCATCTTTTAAAGGAGGATGACGACACTAAACTTTACTAGAATATTCTCCCTCAAGGGATCTCAAGCCAATGTTCTGTCGAACACTGGTTTACAAGGTGGTATAAAGCCCGTGTTTGTTGCTCCCAGATGAAGGTTATGTTCCGCCCTGATAAAGAGATTCTAGTCTTCTGATTAGTTGTCTGCACTTGTTTTCAGTGTTATTTGTTTCATGCTTCAGCCAAGTTTAAGTGCCTTTGATTGAAAGTTTTAATTGACATGGCTTTTTTGAACGTGTTATCTGAAAACGGCCTGATTTTTTTTCAATCGTTGACGTTGAAGCGTCCAATTTGCTACCGATGCTAGCCCCAAAGCAAAAGGGCCACAAAAATTAAAAGAAAAGAAGAAGCATCTTCTGTATCCACTAAACGCCTCTCCAATGCTTGGACGTATGCAACACATTTGATTCGTCGAGGTGGCGAAACCGACAAAACATTCCCGTTCTTCATTTTAACAACCACGTGTTTTCCTCTTCACTTCTAACAATTAAAATTGACTATCGCGCAACGTGAGAAAATACACGGATTAATAATAAACAAGGGTGATAAGTTGTACTGTTGGTTAGTGTTGAACCTCACTAAACTATTACTTACAGCTTTTTCCGCTACAGCTGTATCCACTAACTCTATATCACTATGTCCTATAATTTAATTATTTGGATATAACCTGCACTTCTTTGGTGCGGTTATAGTGTTCCTTTCTGGTGAATTACACGCTTTTTAGTGATTATAGAGATGGTACTATAGATGGTATTATAGCAGAGAGTTGTCCTTGTCATGGAGGACCAAACTCATACAAACGTTGAAGGACACGACTTGAGTGTTGATATTTCCAAGCGAGAAACGTCGAGGTAAAGTAAATACAGATTGTGGCAACAAGAAAAGTAGATTAATGTGAACTGTGAAGTAGTGAAGTAATGCCGCTACATGAATTACACGAAGAACATTGGGAGAATGACGCATGAGAAAACTGAGGTAGACTGTTTGCGTATTAGAACTTTAGAACATCGCTAATAGTTTTGGGAAAATGTGGACTATAGAACGCGCTAAATTATTAACAAAACGCGCTAATGTTTTGAAAGACAAGTTATTAATTGATAATATAAAATCTCAGATAAAATCACGTGTAAAACTTGTTAGAAAAGTGCACGCGGCTCGTGTATCAGTTTATAATTATATCCACCTTAAACTGACGTTAAACACGCCACAAACTATACGATTACGAACACACGATCACAAATTCCCACACTGCTCAAATTTTTGGGGCGCTAAACTGTTAAACTGTAACTATTACAAGAAACGGTACACCATATTATTATAACTGACACTACATCTCTTAATGGTTCCCACGGCTCAAGGAATGCTACATATCATTTTTCGGCCTACCCCTATACCACGCCCGGCAATACGATTGGCTGACTGAACTGACATTGAACACGTGACGCGCGCTCGCGCCTAGGCTGCGTGGATATATATATTTATACCTTTATCCCACTAGTACTACCAATTACTACTTTACCTACTAATTACCTTTGGATCACGAAAAATGATAATTAAATAATTTAAATAATCATAATTATATTATTTGAACTTTCTAATTTGGTACATAGAAATTTTCAGTTTCTATGTACCAAATTTGAGATATCACCTTAAACACAAAAAAATATCTCCAATTCGGTGGTTTGCGGTAGTGGTACCAAGGCATATATCATTATATCTTTAAGACAAATAATTTGTGCAAGTTTGGGTGAATTTTTATGTGCCAAATTTGAGATATCACCTTAAAGTTAAACACAAAATCATCTCCAATTCGGTAGGTTGTAGTAGTCGGTACCAATGGCCATATTTTTGGAGATCAGAAATTACGATTTCTTGAAACTTTCTAGGTAGTTAGAATTAGATAGCTTTAAGACAATAAATTTGTCAGTTTGGGTGAATTTCTATGTGCCAAATTTTGAGATATCATCTTCAAACCAAGGAAAATAGTGCTGTCGGACAGATGTCTCTGTCGGACAGATGTCGTGTTACCTTTCTGATTATGTCAATATTATTCTAATTCACCGGAAACTTCTACCACGAAAGCTTAGTTTGATATAAAGATCAAACGATGTTATATCGTTCGATCCTTATTTATAAAAACTATGTGTATATATTCAAGTGGGAAAGGCAAGTAATTGGTCAAGGTTAAGCAAACAAATCGATTAATATGTGTTAGACTTAGAAGGGTATTTTGTATCAGTATTACACGGTAAACTGTAAAGTCTCAACTTGACAGTGTCGTTCACGGAGCACGGGTGTACTGTGTGGCCCAGTGTCGGTTGTATTTCCTGCCAGTACCCTATGTCCTCCAAAGGCTGAATATCCGTACCCGACTCTAGTTCTAGATATCATGATACTTTAACTCAACCAAGTGTGATCTGGCAGCGAAACATTCAAGTTGCTGAAGCACTTTATTTCAACTCCCGTTGAGATTTATCTTAACATGGCTGCAAACCTAGTTCTACAGCATTGTCAACTTACAATTTCAACCATCATTGAGTTATTTGTTCTCACAGCAGGATGCGTTTGTTAAATGGTATAAACTGCAAAATAATATTAGATTGTAAAAGTATAAACCATTCCGTTTGTATAAACCATTCCGTTGACCACTATGTCGGCCACTCCGTTCAATAAATCATTTAGCTAACCACTAAGCCACAGGACACGCCGGAATCGAGGTGAACTTTGACCATCCGAGGTTGACACTTGCCGGGATTTCCTCGTCTCAGTTGTGGCTTAGAGTCATGACAACCACGTGACAACCACGTGATAACCACGTGACAACCACGTGGTAACCATGTATGAGCACTTGGACACGTGACAGGTTTGTTTACTTTTTGTAAATACACTTTACTCATATAGCACGTGATTGGGTAAAATAACAAGCACCCGATTGATCGGTGCTACTGAACGTGGCGAAATGGTAAGCCGCGGATATTTTTGTTAAATGGTATAAGTTGACGATTAAAAGACATAGTGATAGACAGTGTATTGCTTTGTCTTTATGTCGAGCTCCTTTTTATTTTAAATTTCGAAAATTTGTTATTCAATTACCGTCTTTCCTAGTTTAATAATTTATTAATTTTAAGTTTAAAGTTTTAACTCACGTTTTTATAACAAACCATTTGTTACTTTTATTAATATTAGGAGCATTTTAAAAGTGTGACTTATTTAATAAGCTCAACATGTTGACTTTCGTCAGTAAGCAACCGAAACTACCGAAAGTTACCTTAAAAACGTGCTTCTATTTATACATTCCAACCAGCACTGATAATTTAATATTAAGTGAATGGTGTTACTCGAACGCTGCCACCTAAGCTCGCAAACATGTAAGTTTTTTGAGGTTATCGTGTTTCCCCCGATTACAATTAACCATTTAAGTATTTAGTGGTTGATTATGTGTAGCGTATTTGTAGAACCGGGAAGTAGTACGTATATAGTAAGTATATAGTAAGTGGTAAATAAGTAAGTGGTAAGTATAGTAAGTGGTAAATTAGTAGTTTATATAAACTCAGATAATGTGAGGACTATAAAAGTACACATAAAAGTGCACATTTATGTTTCTGTGGATTGTAATATTTTTAAAAACAATATGCTTGTTCTTCAGGGAAACACGATTTCTAGCTTTGCTATTATTATGCCTAGCTACTGGAGTCCTGGCTAAAGCTAATCGAAACAGAAAAGTAGGTCATCTTTAACGGAACATATCAAAACAAAATTTGCCGAATGATACTTAATCATAAGCAATATTTAATCATTCGATATTATGAAAATATAAATTATTACAACCTTCTGTAAAAATGACACCACATAATTTAAGCGAATCTATCCAAACAGGCAAAAGCAAAAGAGGCAGAACAAGTGCTGGGAGAAGCGGACCCCTACAACTACGACCCTTACTACGCCTCAGGGGGATATGGAGCTGGTTACGGATCCGACTACTCGTCCTCTCAAGATCAACAGAAGCTTCTAGAAGAGTACTACGCTTCCTTCCCGCAGGATCCTGAGTGTAAGAACTGTGAACAGAGACCGTATATCGTGAAGGGGGATGCGGGGACTCCGGGTAAACCAGGCTTCCCTGGACCTCAGGGAGAGGCGGTTAGTAGCTTACTTTTCATTCACTTTTTCATTTAATTTAATTTAGTGAAACTCAATAATAGTGATATGTTTTTTTTAATCATTACAACTTTGCTTGCTATTGCAAACCACAAAAAACCATGAACAACTCTGTCTCCAATTGAACTACTCCATACCTTATCTGTAACCCTCATTTGCTCATTTGCTCATTTGCTCGTCAGGGAACTCCAGGAACACCAGGTTCACCGGGTCGACCAGGAGACAGAGCAAGTAGTGGTAACCCAGGACCCAGGGGACAGACAGGTTCTGATGGACCTATGGGACCTAGCGGTCAGAAGGGTTTCCCTGGAATGAGAGGCAGACCAGGTTTGTTATAATCTGTAGATAGATTATAGTGCGTTTAAAATTGAAGTAGACAATCAATTGTATCATAATGATGTGGTAAATTATACACGGTGGTTGTATTGATACAACTATTAAAGTTAAGCGAAATTTCACTGAGCCATACAATTTAATGAGTTAATAGTAAGTGGTCCTCCAAATAACTGACTAGAAACTGTCCCTGCAGGAAGACCTGGCAGACACGGAGTTGATGGTAACCCCGGACAAGCTGGTGTTGACGGGTGTAACGGTACTAGAGGAGAGTTCGGAGAACCTGGTACTCCCGGATCCATGGGCACACCGGGTCTAACTGTGAGTTTGAACTAGATAGGATTTTGGTGCCTAAGTTTAAAATCCCAAAAAAATATTTTGAAACTTAAATGATTTGTTTTGGGCCGATTACAATAATTCACCGTAACCTAAATTACACAACTTTATATTTTCTCACAAATCTCTTATGACAGGGAGACCCAGGTCGTCTTGGGAGGGGTGGATCACCAGGCTCCCCCGGAAAGAGAGGAGAGCCTGGAGACCAGGGACGAGCTGGTGAGCCTGGTCAGAACACAGAAAGAGGAGAACCTGGTGAACCTGGTGCTGATGGAGCTCCTGGCAGAGCAGGATTTCCTGGCACTGCTGGACGACCAGGTCAGTTTATCGTAATATAATTTTTATCAAAACAAACCAATACAATATAAAAATAATTTTCTCTGATAATGTTTGTCTCCTGGATACTTTTCTCTGATGTCTTTGTTCATTTCTGTAGTTTTCTTTCCATTCAAATTTTCTCATCGGACCCTTATTAAAGAATAAATAACATTATTGTGACGAAATTTCCATCTAGGAGGTAGAGGAGAAGCGGGACAGTCAGGAACCCCTGGTAGCCCAGGTACAATTGGTCTCCCGGGTGATGGCGGTGAAGGAGGAAGGGACGGAAACAGGGGTAGACCTGGTTCAATGGGAGACATGGTGAGTCTAGTTCTCATCGCCAAAATACTGTAGACAACCACAGCACCAAAATATATGACGAAACTGCTCGTATTTCATCTGACTAACAAATTGCCGTGTTCAGGGTAGACCCGGAAGACCTGGTGACCGAGGAGAGCCTGGGAGGGACAGTATTCCAAGCACACCTGGTGGACTTGGTGAACCTGGAGACCGGGGTAAAGATGGCAGACCTGGCAGAAATGTGAGTGGGTTATTTGAATTCATGTTCTGGCATAATTCCATTGTCATGAAACAGACTACTAAAGGCAATCGACAAAAGTCTAAGTAGTGGTAAAAAGATGTTTCTCACTTATAGATAAAACACTTGATATTATACACAACCAACCAACTATCACAGGGGTCCCCAGGAAGAGGAGGATCCAGAGGCGGAACCGGACAAAGAGGGTTACCTGGTGAGACAGGTGAACCTGGTAAGAGTCTGCGAGGAGCACCTGGAGAACCGGGGACCACTCCTAAACTACCTCCTCTTAGGGGACGAGGTGGACTTCCGGTGAGTTATTTGACATGTTGCTGTGTAATGTTACTATGGGGTTTGGTACAATTTTAAGGTGTGTGAGCTACTAGAAAAGAAGTGTTCCGGTGATAGCTAGCAAAATTTTATTAACAATTTAACAAAAGTCTTGTAAGAAGACGCAAAATGTTTTGTTAATAAATTGTTATCTTATGCAACAGGGAGATGACGGAACCCCCGGATTAAACGGAGAGCCCGGAAGATTAGGAACGCCAGGAGGCCCTGGTATTGATGGTATTGCTGGCTTCCCTGTAAGTATCGTCCTTCCCAAACTCTTTGCTACTAATGTATTAGCCTTGACTATTTTCATCTGGACAAAACAACTCTTGCTAACCTATAACAGATGTCACATGACCCCTTTGTAAAGTTGCTGGTAGTATCTAACTCGTCCCTGATCCCGGATATATTTCAGGGTACCCCAGGACTAAGAGGAGCACCCGGGAAGAGAGGAAGCAATGGAAGACTCGGAATCCCAGGTGGGAATAAATTACGTCTATTTGTTTGGTATCCGTAGGATTTTAGGAGGTTCTGTTTCTGAAACAAATATGAACCCGCACTAGATTGTTAATTTAACACAAACTTTCATGTCCCTATCATACTTTTTAACTGGTGTTCTGGTTTTCACAAAACTAACATCTCACAGGAAACAGAGGATCTCCCGGAGATCTAGGAATTATGGGAGGTCCCGGAGGAGCTGGACTACCTGGCTCACCTGGAAGAGGTGGAGCACCAGGAGAACCTGGCCGCCCTGGAACCACTGTGAGTCTTATCAATATGGAGAAGTCTTATTAATATGCAAACATGCATCTTACTGTAAAGCAATACAAACTGAAACCGGTCTCTGAACGTGCATAATATAAATATGATTTTATACCTGATCAGTTAACTTCCGCGATTAAATAAATTAGTTTAATGAAAGTTTAACTTCTGAACCTGCAGGGATTCGCTTTACCTGGTCGACCGGGAGAACCTGGAAATGATGGGCTATCCGGACAACCAGGACTCCCTGGTGCCCGGGGTAACCCTGGTGAATTAGGAATGAGAGGTGATTATATAGTTGTATGTTGTTCTGCTACAATTCTAACGGGTGATGACTAAAAAATGGGACTTTTTTCAAGGGTCTTTTTAGTGTCGATAAAACTATTTTTGGTTCAAACCAATGAAACAGCGTTGTAAAACGGGCAATTTTGAACGAGTATGGTCAATGACAAGCGCCCATGAGCCCATTTTGATTTGTTCAGGAGGGCTTCTTTCATCAAGCTCAAAAATCCGTCTGTACAGTTGGGCCTAAAATCGTGTTGGCGCAGTCTCTTCTTTTGTGCCCTAAGGCCCATGTATGCTTGTAAGCCATATTCCGGGCATGTACATGTGTTGCCAGGACTCTAAAGAAGTCCTCTATGGGTTGAGATTGTCAAAATTTACTTTGGTCGATAACTTTTGGGACGAAATTGGCCCTTATGGCAAATAAAGATGTGGTTTTCCCTGAAAAATACGATCTAGCCCCATCCTAACGAACCACCTTCCACCCTTTGGGGATATTTTCTTGTAGGAACAACACCTGGCAAGGTTTCAAGCACTTTGATTTTTACGTGGTACCATTATAGACCATGCTAAAGCCGATAGTTGACCTAGCCTCGATCTTTCACACGGTAAAATTTTACCCCTCAGGTGGTTTTGAGCTCAAATATCTTCTTACTGGTTTTAGCTACGCTGATGGGTGTTGAACCCTCGTCTTAAGCATAACATTCGGCATACTCTCTGCTAAATATTTTTTGGTATGGAAGCTTTAACTACCTGTGAGGCGACTTCTGTGAACAGAGCTTTACTGTAAAGTTTTTATAGGACCCCTCCCCTAGTTCGAGACCATTATCGGGGACAAAGATCAACCAATTTTATCAAATGGGGGTGGAAACTGTTCGAGTATCGTTCAGAGTAACTGGTGGTTGTGGTAAATTATCAAAATTTTGTTCAGGTGGAATCTGAGGGCTAAAAAACATGTAGTCCCATTTTTTATTCATCACCCGTTACTGTTACTTTATCAATACGTCAATCCTACAACTGTACTGCTTACCCCATTTTATGAGTTTATTTCAGTTAATATTCGGTTAAAATTAGATTATTTATATTATATATATTTTGAAATAGGAATGAGAGGTGATTATATAGTATTCTGATACAGTACTGATATTATTTCTTCTTCGTTGGAGGCTGTGGTCATTATCACTATTAGATGGATCATGACCACTGTAAGATAGAGCATTGGAGCCCTGTGCTTACCCCGGTAAAATATTAATTAGTGGAGAAAAAAGTTAAACTTTTTTTTCTCCGCATTTGGCGAATCGTTTTGTTGCTTGTATGAAGCCAATGATCCTTGGTAGTGAGAACTTGTCCACTATGTCTGTCACACTAAGATAGAAGGAGTAAAAATATCCTCCTTGTTGGTAAGACCACTTCGGGCACTGACCAATAAAGTGGTGCATTGTCTCCTCTTCCATGAGACAGTGTGGACAAGTTTTAGGGACCGTTGTCGGCTTGAACTTATTAGTATGGTAGTTTAGTTCACAATATCCAGGAAGGAATTGTGTCGCTTTTCTTGTGCTCTCTTTGCCAAGTTTCGGGATTGATCTGGTGAACTTGTGTCTCCATACTCGTTTGAAGTGAGTGTTGGGCAACGTTCTCCATCTTTCCCTCATTTTCTGATGACTTATACTCCGCTGCCGCAGCACTTGAGTGGAGTCCAAGTTATCAGAGCCTTTTTTGGCAAGAGAGTCAAGTACTGATATTACTTCGTTACTAATACATTATACAGTAATACAGTACTATAACAGTACTGCTACAGTACTACTACAGTACTACTACAGTACTACTACAGTACTACTACAACTGTGCTGCTACAGTATCGCTACTTCTGATTACAAGTTTATTTCAGTATATATTCGTTTAAAATTAAATTATTTAAGTTTCAAATTAACCTAACAATATTTTTTATCAGGAACCCCCGGTTTACCCGGTGCTATGGGAGATCCAGGTTTGGACGGTGCACCCGGTCTGGACATGCGAGGATTACCAGGTCTATGTTGTCCTGAACTTATATAATATTTTATTTTTTCTGCTCAGAACATATGAACTGTACTTTCAAATCGAGCACTATAAGATAAAGGGAAACGTTGTCAATCAGTAAATAAAAACTGAATCCGGTCTAACATCAGAAAAAGGAACACTTTTTAAAAAGTGATACGTTTTAAACATATCGAATTTCCCAGGAATGAGAGGAGAAGATGGTGCTGATGGAGAAAACGGAGAGCGAGGAGAGGCAGGTACCTCTGGAGCACCAGGAATTAACGTAAGCTTCTAAAACAAAGCAAGACTTCGTCAATGTGCCTCGGTTTTGGGGTTCAATTCACCATTTTAACAGTCTGATCAATGTTTACCCCTATCTTACCCCTCCCTTTGCCAGGGTATTGACGGTCTCATGGGGGACGGAGGACTGCCCGGTTCCCCGGGACGAGCTGGTGTCCCTGGTACCCCAGGCCAGGGTGGAGAGCCTGGGTTAGGAGGAGAACCTGGTTCACCTGGTAGAGATGGGTTTAACGGAGTGAACGGTCAGAAGGGTACATCAGGTTAGTTATTTAGTTAGTTAATTAGTTAATTAGTTAATTAATATTTTTAATTGTTAGGTTACTCTCTGTAGACAATTGTGAGTAAAAAGTTCACGAAACAATGAGTGTATAAAGACAATGAGTCAATGAGTCATTAAACTATCAAGACAATGAGTCATTATGTTATTAGATTATTATAAGACTATCGACTAGATTATTATTAGACTACCGACCTAATCGAATGTCCGTGTAGGAGTGAACGGTATGCCCGGAAGACCAGGTTTGAGAGGAATGGGAGGAACCCCTGGTTTGAGAGGAGCTCCAGGAGCACCTGGTACTGCTGGAACTGATGGTACTCCTGGTGAGAGAGGACTTGATGGCACTCCTGGCTTAAATGGACGAAAAGGTAGAGAGTTTTAGGTTCAAAATATTGATAAACTCAATTAAATTGGAGTGAAATGTCTCTTTTGTGAATAGTTGTGCAGTCAAAGGCATTATATGTTACCTTTTAACTTCTTTTAGGTAGTCCAGGAGAAGATGGACGGGACGGTAAAGTACGTTACGCTCAAAAGGGAGAAAGGGGAGACCCCGGTGCTGACGGAGCTCGGGGAGCACCAGGTAATTGAAAAAAGAACGAAATAAATAAATAAAAAAGAGGTAATAAATCGTTTAAATCTGTCATCTGAGTGACAGTACGCTTATCACCTCCAAATTGACGCGCTCAGAGCGAGAAAAGATCAAGATGTTGAAATTGTTTATTTATACATGGTTAGTTATACCTGACACTTGTGTCAGTTGCTTACCATATTGGCGGTATACAAGCACATTATTTCATTTCATTTCATATATTTTTAAAGTAGTTATATTTCCATAATATAGTTCAAAGCTTCAACAAGTAATTACGAGTGTAAAATTTTACTGACTGGGTCTTGACCAATGACCAGGTGACGATGGTTTGCTGGGATCTGGAGGAAGGCCTGGTCTGGATGGACTCGCTGGAATGCCTGGACGACGTGGAGGCAGAGGAGAGCCTGGAGTTCCCGGATATGATGGTCAACCTGGCCTGCCTGGAGAATTTTCTTACGTGAGTCAATTTAGATCGCCAAATAAAGCAAATTGGCTGTTGTCACAATGTTATTTACATATTACATAAATCGATTTATATACTATGATATTACTTTTTCAGAAAATTATCCTTTGTATTCAGGGATTCTTGTTCACTCCACATTCCTACTTAGGGCGCACCTGGAGCTAATGGAGCACCCGGAACTGATGGAAAACCGGGACTACCCGGTCGACCAGGACTTGGTGGTGACAGAGCAGCAAATGGTATTCCTGGAACTGATGGAAACCCTGGTAGTCCAGGTATGAGCCGGTTTAAACTGATTCTATTTATAGAAAGTTTATAAACTTTCTAAAAGTTTACTAAATAGCTGAATAGAATATTAATATCAAGCATTTTTTTAAAGTATAGTAGAAAGTCTCGTAGGAGACGCGGCTAATATATATTTACGGTTATCAGCCTAACATTTAAATGACCCTCCTAAATGTACAGGATTGCCTGGTAACGGAGGAACTGACGGTACACCGGGTGAAGTAGGAGATATGGGTAACGCCGGACTTCCGGGAAGAAACGGATATCCTGGCCGACCTGGATACAGAGGTATGTAAGATTTAGTGATTTGGTTTATTGAGAAATAATAGACTTTTGGCACCTTGCTTTAGGCCTCGCCTCTTTAACCAGAGGATTTGCAGCACTTAATGATACCCTAGTATCCTATTCAGCTTCTTGAGAGAATAATGAAGTAAATGTAACTTTCATTTTCATTTCCCATGATTGTTTTGATAATAATTATTATTATGCAGGAGACGCAGGAAGCACAGGAAAATCAGGGTCACCAGGACAACCAGGGTCACCGGGAGGTTCAGGACTTGATGGAGATGCAGGACGTAACATGGCCGGAACCCGTGGAGCAAGGGGAGACCGTGGTGAACCGGTTAGTGCATCAGTTAATTAAGTTCATCTCCTTGTAATGTGCAAATAAAACTGTGCTCCTAGTTTTCTTGTACTCTAATCTAACACTGTGTCATGAAAATCCCCAGCTTAACGGGGAAATGCCTATCCAATTCTCAATCTCCTCTTACAGGGTACACAAGGAACTGAAGGTACTAATGGTGATCCCGGAAGAGACGGAAACCCCGGACGAGATGGACTTGCTGGTCGACCTGGATATGCTGTGAGTACATGAAGCATATTGAGTAACATAACTGTAAAGGACATTATTCAGTACTTTTTGTCGTTCACGATAATACAACCCTTAAATGACTCCAATCACCTTAGTTCCCAAGTGTGAAATAGAAATTAACTGATTAAAACTATCAGGGAAACAGAGGACTTCCAGGGACCCCGGGAACACCGGGAACCTCTGGAGCAAAAGGAGAAAGGGGAAAAAAGACCGTTATTCCTGGAAAGCCTGGAAATCCTGGATATCCTGGACGTGGCTTCCCTGGCAGAGCTGGCCTCCGGGTATGTTCAATTCTATTCTGTATTTCATTAGCTATTCACCCCATCGTACCTTGTAATTACGCTAGTATAAAGCCAATTTAAAAAGTTGGTTGTGTCTAACACTTATTTAAACGAAAAATTAACTCCTTCACCAATACAGGGAGATCCTGGAACCGAAGGAACACCAGGTAACCCAGGACAGCCTGGTGACAAGCTGGAGCTAGGACCTGGACCTGCTGGTAACCCTGGTTTACCAGGTCGACCAGGATCTAGAGCAGCCGGTGGAGACGCTGGTCCTCCCGTGAGTAATTCTATTACATACATAGCTGCTTTTTATTAGATTAAATTTTACTGTAAGTTCTTAATCATTATAATTTACAGTGAGCACATCAAATTAATACTATCATCATAATTCAGGGACCCCCTGGACCCCCAGGTTATGATGGAATCTCTAGAGATGGATACCCAGGAAGGGCCGGTACACCCGGTTACCGAGGAGAATCTGGGCGTCCAGGTACTCCTGGTACCAAGGGAGAAATTGGAGATGCTGGAACTCCAGTAAGTACATTGTAGTCTGGTATTTCATTTTACCAGATTTGAAATTTCACATAATATGGTAAGTTTTAAAAAAACCCATTTTGTTGGGGAATGATTGTTTTAATATCCTAACTTTTCCTCCAGGGAACCCCTGGTTTCGGAACTAACGGTCTGCCTGGTGAAAATGGACGCGACGGAAGAAACGGCAGTCCAGGACGAAGCGGATATCCAGGTAACCCAGGAACTCCCGGTAAGCTGGGAGAACCAGGAGTACCCGGAGCAGATGGCACTTCCGGACTGGCTGGAGCTGATGGGAATCCAGGCTACCCTGGCAGAGCCGGGTACGCAGGAAGACCAGGAGAAACTGTGGTGGGAACACCTGGTAAAGCAGGAGTAAGAGGAGAGGACGGAGTACCAGGCATGGATGGAGCACCTGGAAATCCTGTAAGAATTTTATATGTTTTCGTAATTAATTAGTTAATTAGTGGAAATATGAGTGGAAGAGTAAAGATATTGGGTGACTAACTTAGAGAGACTCTGCATATTGTAATATAAATGACGCGATCAATCTGATCGCGATATTGTTTTTACGAAATAAGTTTTATAAGCTGTTTAACAAATACATTATCAGGGGTTACGAGGAACCAATGGACGCCCTGGTAACAGGGGTGCAGCAGGAGACCCAGGTGCCCCTGGGTTCGGGACACCAGGCAAAGACGGAACTCCTGGATCTCCTGGATCACCTGGAGGAAAGGGACTCAGAGGAGATAACGGTAGAAACGGAAACCCAGGTTAGTTCAGTTGGTTAGAAATGGGGTCCTTACATTAGAATCTTCTAGTATTCAGTACCACGTCCAGCTCGATTACTTTTTTTTCTGAAATTTAACACCAATACAGAGTCTCACAATAATCTTAGGTACATACTTTAGTACGTACTTTAGTACATACTTCAGTATACATGATGGACTGCCTATTTTAAACAAATTGACAAGGAAACTCTTGACCTAGTGTTAACAATTCAGCAATTCTATTGCCACAGGACGAAGTGGACGACCTGGATTTGACGGTGCTCGAGGAACCCCAGGGAGTGACGCTGGTAAAGGAGAAATGGGAGATGCTGGATTTGACGGAAACCCAGGGTTCCGAGTAAGTGAGAGCCGGTCCTGATTTAACGGACTGATGATAATTTATAGATTAACAGATTATGATAGAACTCTGTAATCGATCCTTCGAGTTGGTTAGATTTATCGTTTATCCAATGTGGTGAACTTTATTATTTGGTAGTCCATTCTATTGTCATTCCCTTACCAGCTTACCCATCAGGGAAACCCGGGAAGTCCTGGTAAAAGAGGATCCCCAGGACCTGCAGGTCTTGCTGGGGAGCCTGGCAGTCCGGGTAGAAATGGATTCCCTGGTAGGGATGGTAACCCTGGTAGAGCTGGAGTTCGTGGAGACAGGGGCAACCCTGGAACACCTGGACTTAATAGTGAGTTTATTTAAAATGTTTGATTGGGCGATACTTTTATTTTCCTATCTCAAAACTAAATTAAGGTTAAGTTGATCAACAAATGCAAACGAGTTTAACGTTTTGGAGTAATAACTGATAACGCCCTTCAGTGAACCAGCCCGGAGCCCCAGGAGCTCCCGGAGCAAAAGGACGACCAGGAAACCCCGGCTGGGGCGGATTCCCTGGCGGTCCTGTATGTTAGCTTTTTAAAACTTTTATAGAGTTTTTCTACAAATTATATTAGGTCCTTTAAAATTTAAGATAAGGTCCGACAATGTTTTATTTATGCAATGACTGATTGTATGTAATACGATAAACTAGTTATATACAATAACTGAAATGTGTTTCTAATAATGTATCCCAGGGTTCACCCGGAAGACCCGGAAACCCCGGAAGACAGGCAGGTCTCCCTGGATACCCTGGAACTCCTGGAGCCGAGGGGAAATGTGGGGATCCCGGACCAGACGGGACGCTCCTGGTGAGAACCCTATTTGTCAGTTTGTGTTGTGTTTATATGGATAGGATGTGACGTCTATAATACTCTATAGTCTAAATAATGTAGTTGATCATATTTAAGCATTTAGCTTGAAAAGTCGATTCTGTGCTCCAATGAGATCCGACAGTATTATGATATGCTTATTGAAGCTTTGATTAACACTTTACAGCAGAACATCTTTAAACTGAAACTTTCACCCATTCTCAAATAACAATCATTGACCTCAATGACCTCCATCTTAAAAACCATGCTTTGTTAAGACTGTCAACTTTCATTTGTCAGGGAGGAGGTGGCTTCAGTATCGGGCGAGGCAGACCCGGTCCTCCAGGGAGATCAGGGGTGACCATGAGATCCGAATACGCTCAAATTCAACAGTACACTATCCACTCGCAAACAAATCAGGCTCCTTCCTGCAGCTTCGACTTGAATGAACTTGCTCGCCTTAACGGTGGTTAGTCGACCGAAATTCATTAATTATTAACAATCAATTAATTCATTAATCAAGTAAGTGTAACACACTATTATTTCTGATGCGTGATGATTACTCCAACATTAGTGTTTCATTATTGGAAAATTTACTTGACACTTCCTCAGGACGAATGCCGAGAATAGAAAAAGAATCCTCAATAGCCCTCTGGGAAGGATTCAGTGCCCTGTACATGGACACTTCCTCTGGTAGCGGTTGGGGACAGCCTCTTTCCTCCTCTGGTAGTTGTCTCAAGAACTTCGAGATTCAGCCGGTTGTGGAATGCAGTACCAATCCCGGGTGTGAGGTAAGAAGGGTAGAATGCCCTACATTGATGTTAATATGCTCATCTCTGATGTGTTGAAAAGTATAGAAAAACTGAGTTTATTTCAAAATATTATCAAGGTTAATCTACGGAATATATTAGCTAAACGTTAATTAAATATAAGTTTAACCTTTTTAACAGCCCATAAAAACACCAGGTAAAGTTTGACGAGAGTAGCATGTGGATGAGTACATGTCCTGAAGAAGGGTCTGGAGACACTATTGGAGAGTTCCTTCCCTACGGAGAGACAGAATATGACGTTGCAAACCCTAAACCGGTAAAATAAATACACTTTTAGGGTGAGGGGCAACGGCAATAATTTCGAACGGTTTTATTTAAATGATCATTTATTGCTGTACTGTATTTGAAACGTATTTAAATTTTAAAAAGGAAAGAAAAAATATTAGTCTACTTAAGCTTGATGTCAGTTGGCATCTTACTGAAACTATGAGATTAGAACAATATTCTGATTACCTGTTCATTCCCCCAGGTAACGGATTACATATCTCGGTGCTCAGTATGCCAGAGTACCTACCCTTGGTTGGCAGTCCACAGTTTTAACGATAGAGTTCCTGAATGCCCGCAAGCCAATAACGGAAAGTTTGAAGCTTATACGCTTTGGGTGGGATGGAGTCTTATCATGGTAAGTAATTAATTAGTTACCATTGATTAATTACCATTAATTTTGTTTTCAATTTTTCAAAGTATAAATAAAGATGCTTAATACTTTACTACAACTTAAATTATCAATTACCTTACAAGACTTATATTTTTTATAACGTACGAAATGCGACGGTTTTCCCGAAATTTCGCCATATTTTCGGACCGCCAAAATTTCGGTCGTCGTAATAAAATCCGTCGCATTATTTTTAGCTTATTCCAATAATTGTGGCTTCATCGATTCATTTTGTTCTTGAAAAAGTTGGTGATATGATGGTGGGACAAATAAACACAATATTTCATGATGAATTTAATGTCAAGTTTGTAGCGCGATGCGTTACCGTGTCTTGCCGCGCATTCAATAATGCTTCTCGCAACGACAATTTTCAAATTTCACTAGACGATCTTCAAGTTCATGTCACTAGATCGGTGAGATGCACCACTGAGCTGTGAAGGATTGACATCGTGAATCAAATTATGTCAAGTAATACGTTTTAAATTTACAATAAATTACATTTATGTGCTAACATAAACGTCTTATAAGAGACTAAGTCAAGATAAACAATTTAATACCAAACTCAATAAGTCATGTGATGCAGATTTACTGTCATTGATCAGTAGAGTAAAATTTAGATTGAAATACTAAAATCAGCACTAATCAGTAATCATTTTATTACTCAAGTGAATTTAAAAAGGATCTTGTTCCGGAAAATCTACCAAAGGAAATTTTGAATTTCCTTTGTGTCAGAAAACAAAATGATGAAAAATACCCTTATTTTCTGTGACGTCCAAAATGTGACGGTTTTTGTTCAATTTCGCCATATTTTCGGACCGCCAAAATTTCGGTCGTCGCAAATTGGTCCGCCACAAAAAAGTTTTGTAAGGTAACTTTAATCCTCGGTAACCTTATATAATTTGATATGTTGTCCAAGATACATATAACAAGGGCTGGTAGGTAATTGATCATGTTAATTGGTAGGTAATTGAGTAATTGGTAGGTAATTGATCTTGTTAATTTTCCAGGCTAAAGACAGAGGTGGTGGTGTTGGACAAGATTTGACCACTCCTGGGTCTTGTATGAGGTAGACTGCTATAGTGCTATTAGTTTTACTTGACACTGGATTCTTGAATCTTGCAAGCATCCATCCATTCACACTTCTGGGTCCCCTCCTTACTGCACCACCTTGATCTATGAGTTCATATATTAAGACGCAATGAAACTACCGGACTACGATGTATGGGGACTTGCCACCCCATGGCAAGTCTCTGCTACATCGTTTCCTCACATTATTTGTTAAATAGTAGTGTTGAAAGTATTAAAACTAAATGTCTAACTGTGACGTCCAGTGATGATTCAAATAAACATTGTGATCCTAATATCCTGATCATTTATTATTTTCCAAAATAAAATACCCATTTCAGACGGTTCTCCCCGCTGATGTCAGCCAAGTGTCAGTACGCTGGAACTTCAGTGAGCGGTCCTAATTGTGTGTTCCAGTCTTCTGGTGCCGAGATATTGTTCGTCAGGAACTCTGAGAAAGAGTTTGATGATGATGTGGTAAGAACAGGATTTTTCTCAAACAAGGAGATATTTTATTTGGATATTCAAGAGGGAAATACAACTTCAAATTAACGTGCTGTTGACCCAGAGCTATTTAAAGCACACCTTTTTACCAATTGTTTTTACAGGGTGTTTCAAAAGTCTTGCAAGGATGTTCTTCTTCTTCTTTCTTTTAATCGATCTTTTATATTTCAGGATGTTGGTGTTCTTGATGACGACCTTCATACTTACTTCTCCAGATGCGCTGTATGCTTGCTTAAGATTCTCCGATAAGATGACCGGATTGGGTGTTCTCTGAATTGGATTTTATGGTTGATGAGTTTTGAGAATTGTTACAAATGTGATGATGATATATTTTGCGTGTATTGAATTTGTATGATTTGATTTCTCTTCAATTTTCAACTAATTTTTGTTCATATTTACCACTGTTAATACCAGTATAGACAATAGATTTAGTATTGCTTAGCGCGCATAACAAGGCGCGCATAACAAGGCGCTAGCATTTTACCGCCATTCTAGGTTTCACTGATTTCACAATACACAATACACAATATGTCCAATTTGATTCTAATTGTTGCTCCTAATCTGATAATTTTAATGACAGTGACTGCTCCCTATTAACCAACCGACCAACATTTTCGGTCGAACCCTAAAATTACTAATACCAAATTTAAACCCCACATATGCGTGTATAGTCTCCAAATCTTCTCTCTGCTCTCGGACTTTGTTCTTTTGAATAGAACTGTTTGTATACTTTAACAAATAGTGATTTTAACTTTGAGATAAACTGCTAGATTATTATATTTTTGTACCAATGTTCACCTAACTTAACGTCTCTCACTGACACCATCACCCGGCAACCAATTTTAAAGTATAATTTATTAACGATCTGACTACATAACAGACTGGCGGTCAGCGTTCCCCGTATAGTAGCTCAACGGAGGGGGTAATCAGGGCACGTGTTAATGAAAAATGTACGATTGTACGTGTCCTTCCACAATCCCCTCTGTTGGGTCACACGTTATTGGGAACTGAGATCGCTATCGTGTAACTAGAAGCAGTATATGCAAAGTAACTTAGGTGATAGGTGATAGGCAATATGAAATTACACATCTTACTTTAACTTTATCCCGTCACCCATGGACTTATCAATTAACGGCTGGTGGTGGTGTCATCGTTTGTCGTATTCACATAGCCATGTGCCTACGCGTACTGCGTGACGCGCTTGTTTCACAAGTATGATATTGTTTCACAAGTAGGATCTTTTGCCGCCTTCGGCGGTCGCGCGCTACTGCAAGCGAGAGGGCTCTGGTTAGAGCAATTTGTCGTACTCAAAACGTTTCACGGAATTGCGAATGCCGGCCCATCGAGGAAAATCTTTTTACTTTGTATTTTAACCATTATAAAATGTGATTAGTCGGATTATATAAATATAGTACTGAGTTCAAACAGTCCCCGAAACGAAAAAGCAAACATTTGATTTTTGTTTCGGCGACTGAATCGTTGATGGGCCGGCAAATATTTGTTGTCGAGTAGTGTTGAATACTCATATTAACATGATTATTGATTTAATTTAGGAATTGTATATAAATATCTTTGACCAAGTTTAATTGGTGATAAATAATAAAATTGTCTTTTCTCAAAAAAAATTGTCTTTTCTCAATTGTTAATGAGAATGCACCCCAGCACAGGGCGCGCGCGGCGGCTTTGATGTTAGCGGCTACAAGCTTGAAGCTAGGCAGCTGCAGAAAAATGCCGCGCGCGTTCAGCGTAGGGCTTTTCGTTTTTGATTTTACAAATGACAAAGCAACTTTTAATGATTATTAATGGAATTATCGGATATTTATAATTCAATATGTATTGATTCTTCTGTGGAAAATAAAAATTGTATTTTACTTAAAATTGTATTTTACTTTCTATGCATAAAAAGAAACATTTCGTCTCATCAAAATATCACGCTAAATTAAACTTTAAACAACAAAGAAACAATAAACCATTCCCAAATTTATTTCAATAATAATTGCTAGTCATATTCTGATTTTTGTATCATCGATATAATTCAACTTTTACAATAAAATTCGTTCATTTTAGACCTAATTATAATAGATCCGTTACTGAGCTACCAGATTTCGCTAGCTATACTAATTTTTAAATTTTTAAGCATTTTTCTTAGCTTAATGTTCTTTTTTTCCTTCCTCATAAATTTCCCCGCCCACTACAGGGTCATATGCTCGCACACACGTCCAACTGAGTGTTATACAGGTGGGTGTGGATATGCAATTCTTTTCTGGATCATCTTCAAACACTCTTCCTGTTTATATGTTAGTGCAGCAGCAGTAAGCACGTTTCTCTTTATTTGCAGGTTCACCTGGATACATAGGTGTTTCACGGTCAGGGTGCACGGTTCCTTGAAACCAATTGAAGTATTTTTTAGTGAGACATGTTGGTATGAAGGACTCCATATTGTTCCCGAATGTACCAAGTCCCCTGGTAAAGTTCGCATCAGGAGTACTTTGTAGCTGTGCTAGGGTTTCTTCCGTCATGTTCGCTTTGCTTCTGGCGTGAATCCATTCTCTAACTTTCTGGCACTGCATCTCCATGTTTTTTGGCCACGCATCACATTGTCCAAAAGCAAAACGGTCAAAAACAGCTCTGCCAGTTGCAGTGAATTCGAATCGTGTTGCATTAAAAGTCGAGTGTCTGAAATTTGAAAAAAATGTTTGCTTTATAATGAAATGAATTTGCCAATTTTTTTGCCAATTTATGAATGAAATGGATTAGGCTACATCTATATCTTACTTTGAGTCCACTTTGACTTTAGGACGCAGGATGCCTGTTCTAATTTGTCTTTTTCCTTCAGATATTTTGTTCTGAAAGTTATGTCTGTAAATCATTATTCTTGTTCAACCATATATATAGTCAGTTATTGACCTATTATATATACCTAGTGGTAGTTTTACAGACCACATTTAATTTATTAACTTATTATACTTAGTATTTATTTTTGGTGACTGTATCACCCAGTACAGTTTTAACATTTGATAATTGTGCAGTTTATTGACGACACATTGACCGAATGTTATTTTATATTCTAATTTATATAATAATAATAATAAATTGAAGTTTAAGAACACCACTATTAAGATAAACTTATACTCAGCAGTGTTTAATCTAGTCATCCCAGAAACTATCATGATAAAAGTTAGGACTGCTATCAAATACTTGAAAATATATCGTTCATATGAGTGAAACTTAAAACTAAAGAACTAACACTAAATATAGGCCAAAATCAGTCATTGATATAGTTTTTCAAGTTCATGCTGAGACAGTTTAAATAAGAAAGTTTTTAGAAATGCTTTAAAAGATTCCAGGGATTCAGCTGATGTGATGGTAGTAGGCAGACGGTTGTAGATCTTTGGAGCCACAGTGAAGATTAGTCAGGTCGTCTTCCAGGTGGTCATGCTTATATTTACCAGTAACGGCTTTTGCAGCAGCATTTTGTAGTAACTGAAGCTGATGTAAAAGCTTCTCGCCAATACCAAAATATAAACCGTTACAATAATCTAGACATGATACCACTAGACTGTTGACGATGACTTTAATCTGTTTGAGATTCAAAAGAAAGCGGATTTTCCTGATATTGCGCAAGGTATGAAAGCATTTCTTCTTGAGATTTATAATTTGTTTATCAAAAACTAGTTGATTGTCCATAACCAACCCTAGATTCTTAACGGTGGGGGTCCGTGTAGGCCTTACACTGTGCTTTCAGCAATACTCATAACTAATGTGTTAGGAGCAATTTCAACCCCATGAAGTTCAATCTCATTTAGTACCTTTCTAGGTCCAAAGACTATAAGCTGAGTTTTAGAGTCATTTAATTGCAGATAATATTGAGACATCCAATTCTTTATCCTCAAGAAACAATTTCTCAGTTGGTTTGTTAAGGTTTTCACCTGATCTGAGGGTTTGAAAGATTTCATAATTTGATGATCGTCTGCATAACCAATAATAGAAAACCCAGATTCTTTTACACAGCTGTACAATGATCTAATATAGATGTTGAAAAGTACAGGGCCTAGCACAGAGCCCTGAGGTACTCCAAAACGTAAAATTATGGTTTCAGAGACTGATTTACCAAGTCTGATACGCTGACAACGTCCTGTTAGGAAGCTGGTGAACCAACTCAGAGCTGACCCCCTTATTCCTATTTCTTGTCTCAAGATCTTCAGAAGTAAATTATGATCCACAGTATCAAAGGCTGCACTGAGGTCCAACAGCATAACAACAGTAGCTGTTTTTTCATCTGCAGCAATAAGGACATCATTAACGATTTTTATCAAGAGAGTTTCTGTGCTGTGGTGTTTCTTGTAGGCAAATTGTTCCTGACAATTCAGATTATTCCGACTAAGGTGCTCGTTAAGTCTTCTCAAAACTACTCTCTCAATTAATTTTCCCAGGAATGTAAGGTTGGAGACAGGTCTGTAGTTTTTCAGTATATTCGGATCCTGAGACTCATCTTTCACTAGGGGAATAACGTCAGCCAGTTTAACACCATCCATACTGCCGGTGGACAGCGATTGGTTAACAAGATCAACCCAAACATGCAATAGGGAAGTGATATTATCCTGAACAAGATCTTGTGGTAAACAGTCATTAGGTGAACAATTGATTCCACTTTCCTTGATTATATCTTCAAGTTCTGAGATACAGGTTGGTTCAAATTCGAAGAGGGGTGTTACAGTAGTATCAGTGCAATCTGGTATATAGGTAACAGGTATGTTATCACGAATCTTTTCAACCTTTTCAGAGAAGAACTTGTTGAAGTCAGATGCAAGTAGTTCAATATTATCAGTGTAGTCAGGTAGAATTCTACTTTGTTTACGATCCATTACCTTATTGACAACTTGATATAGAGTTCGAGTTTTATTCTCTGACTTATTGATAACAGTTTCCAAGAAATCTTTCTTTTTAGTCAAAGCTAGTGTAGTAGCCTCATGACAGAGTTCTTTGTAGTGCAGAAAGTGTCCCTCAGATCTATTTTTCTTTTTCTCGGCTCGACGACGAAGTTTTCTCAGATCTCTATATTCCTTATCAAACCATGGAGCTTTATCCACTACTGACACTCTTTTGCTAATTAATGGAGCATAAACATCAAGAAGGTTCACTATAGAGGCATCAAGACTCACTACAGAAGTCTCAAATGATTCTGAAACATCAAACTGATCAAGAACATCATTAAGGTCACGTGAAAAGGTATCCTTGTCTACAGCTTTAATATCTCTGAATTCAATTGATTTGAAATATTTCTTTCCTAAAGTGTTGCTTATGTTACAGATTATAGGAAAGTGATCTGAGCCTAGTGTATCGCTATTGTCAATAAACACATTATTGCAATGAAGATGGTTGTTCAGCGAGAAAGTAAATAACTGATCTAGACATGCACCACCAATGTGTGTTGGACGATCATACAGAGCATGAAGACCATATGATC